TCAGGGCCTTCTGTGGCATCCTTGAGCTGCGAGAACCTGCAAGCCACGGCCCTAAATCACGATTTGGGGGGGGGGGGGGGGGGGGGCGGGGCAGGGTTGTTCTACTTCCGGAGCTCCTACAAATATCTTTACTGTACCATTCAGAATTTGAATCTTGAAGGCCACTATCAAGCACATTTTCCATGCTGTTTATCAAGTTGGAGGAGAGAATTTAGTTCAGCCTGTTAGCATGCCTGGCATAATAGTGGATTTGCTTTCCGTGCGCGCTGGCCGGGAGATGAGGCTACAGCCCTTGAAAACATAGACACAAGGGCATGGTATAGGGGCCTAAATAATTACCAATACTATTTTTGGGGGGCTCCTTTTTCTATTTATGGTATAAAGGGCCCCAAAACCCTATTCTACTTATTAAGGCCCCTGTATAGTAGCCGACATAGGGGCGTCCTCACAGTTCGTGGGTGTCGAGGGAGCCCGCGGATGGCTACTGTAAGGCCTTACGGTTCCTTTAAAGGGTCTATAAGGGCTACTCTAGGGATTTAGTATAGGACCCTTTATAATTAGAATAGGGTTTCGGGGCCTATTATATAATGAGTATAAGGTTAAGGCCCCTATATTAACATCCGAGACCGAAAAGTCCGAAGAGAAAACGCAAACCACAATTCCTGGAGTTTCGGTCGGGGCCTGGTCGCACTTTTCAGCTCCTTCAAGAGGTCCAAGCTCTCCTCCAAAGTGAGGGCCGTGGGCCTCAGAGCCGCTGCAAAAGGACGTTCGTTTCAGGCCCGAAAGGGGCTTGCTACATGTCTGTACCTATCCGTCTCTAATCTAACAAGGCTTCAGGCTCGCAACAGCTAGAATCATGGAATTGTCTACAAATTTTCGTTTGGGCGTTCGGCACTTCGAAGTGCTTTCGCATTGAGCACGTTGGGCCCGGAGTCCCTACTTCACCTCCGTGTATGTGCCCCGGACGACGTCGGTTTTGGGCGACCTCTCTGCAGGTTTCTACGGTACCATCGAAAGCCAAAGCCGTAAACCACGTCTACTGAAATCAGACGACCCAAGAACGCGCCAAGCCAGCACTGAGGGCCCGGCACTCCGAGCCAACACACAAAATACCTGCGCAACCTCAACCAAGGAAGAATGTCTATTTGCTCGGCTTAGAGGTTTAAAGGTGTCCCAAACCGATTTCTTCAAGTTGAAGGCCTTGGGTTTCAAATTTTAGGGATCTAGGCTGTAGCGATTGGGTTGCAAGATGTGCCGCAGGGCACGAAGCATTCAACATCAAGTTGTAAACACTGTTTCTGATTTGGAGTGTGGGAATAGGAAGTTGTCATGTAGTCTAGCTGCATTTCAAGCAGCCTGGGCGACTCTATACTCTACACTATCATACTCAACTTTATGTAGAAACTTTCGGAGGATGGGGGGGGGGGGGGGCTTGCAAAACCCATAGAGATCGAGCGGTTCGGCATTTACCGAGCATCTAGGGTTTGCAACCCTGTGCTTCCAAGGACCTTATTGTTCCCCTTACGGACACAATAATAAGGCCCGTGGAAGCCTGGAAGCATAGCGTAAACATGACACATGGGGTTCTTCAGAAGCGAAGCAGAAGTGGAGCATGCATTCCTTTTTCATAAGCGACTTCTCGCGACATTGCGCTGTACTTGGGCTTCTCACGGCATGCGCGCAAGTTGAGTCACGCGGACTGCTTGCGAGCTTTGCGGCAAAAACCTGCACATCCTACCCGACGCAGCTCCGGGGTTAAAGTTGGAGCGCCCCCTGATTCCACGTTGTAAAACTTGGGATGGTTGGGGCTGCTGGCGCACTGGCCACCACAAGGCTGCATGCCGTTGCTGCGATGTGATGAGTGCCAAGCATTGAGCTCAGAGTCAACTGAGCGATCCTTCTGAAATTTTGCAGTGATCCTGAAAGTTCTTGGCTGCGGGCCCGTATGAGATATGAGGAGGTAGCCAGTGGATGTTTTCAAAGACCAGATTCCGACAGGCTCGGTTTGGACCTCGGCAAGGAGATCTTCTGTAACCAAATCGTTGAAGCTCTCCTTCACTGGACCTTCCTGAATCCCCCGAAATCGTGGATGACGAGCCTTCGTGGCAGAACGTCTGCACGTCTGGTCAGCGAACCGCCGGAATGTCAACGTAGAGCAGAATCGTAACATGGCCGATTATGGTCACAAGGATTGAGCCATAAAGCCACTGGAGCATGGCAACGCCTACGACCCCGCATGAGACCCAACCAAAGCCCTGATTGAACGGATGCACAAATTGCATGTCGTCGCCGCTTCTCGTAGGCTGCACTTCAGCATTCAACCGCGTCGGGTTTCAGGGTTCACAGTATGAGCGCACCTCTGCGCTCACCAAAATCCTCAGTGGCTGTGGCCATTCAAATGCAGTTGCCAAAACCCCTATTCGTTAGTTTGAAAGAGCCCTGTGAAAGTGTGCCAACAGCAAGCCTAATTAACACCCAAACAATGGAGCCCGGGCGAGCTGTTGGGACCCTTGCTGCGGTGATTCGGCTGACCAGCGGCCGGACTGACCGTAGACCTCGGAGCGAGCGGCTTGCCGCTGTTGTTGAAACGCTCAACCGTCGACTCCGTGTATGCTGCACCCTACACCCCTGTTAAAGCGCTACCATGCAAAACCCGAAAACCTCAAGGCTCCTCTCTTGTTGAAGCGGTGCTGCGAAGCTGCCGGAGTCGGAACCCTAAACCCTCACCACACCCTGGAAGCCCTCAACAAACCATCAAAGCAAGGGAGACCTTCCAAAATCACCCCAAATCTCTAGAGCCTTAAACGCAAAAACCAGAAACCCTGAACCATCCCAACGATGGGAGCCTCTCCGAGCTCATGGAATTCGCTTCGGCCACGGAGATCAACAGCCTGGCGCCACCTGGCAATTCATTTGTGGCTTTGAAAGCTTTCAGCCTTTACTATGGGCTTCATCGTTCTTGCTTTCAATTTTTTTCTTTAGCGCTGTAGCGTTCTGTGTTAAGGCTTCAGGGTTTCACGGCGGGTTTGCGGCATTGGGTTTAGTGTAGTGTGCTGGAGACAAAGTTTGCAGGATTCAGTTGTAGCTTAATCGCTTCAGGGTGTATAGCCCGTCAGATAGGATGGGTGTCTTGGGGTTGCACAAAACGTATACATGCTTCAGTCAGTGCGTTTTAAGGTTCGCTGGGTGATCTTGGGTTCTGGGAGGTGTCTCCAGGGTCGGAAAAAGGTCAGGGAGGCGATGCTTACATCTAAGACACTACTTCAATCTTTGTTTACCTCGGTAAGATCCAGGAACCTAAACTGCATACTGTGTCTTCGTGCATGAAATTCCAAGGGCGCAAATTGGACTCCAGCTAAACAGTGATCAGTATACTTGCATAACAGCTCCTGAAAGCTGCAGCCATAAAACCGCATCATAACTTGAACCGTTGTTTTAATCCCTTAGCCCCCTTGAGGCCTGAATCCAGAATCAGCTTCAATTGTTAAGATCACGCCTGCACTTCCTTGCGTTGACGTACCCAACATCAGGAATAAAGACCTGCAGCAAATGGATGGCGGTGTAGAGCCTAAGGCATGAGTTATGGCCCCAGTTATGGCTCGAAAGGAATCAAGTGCTGACTGACAGGGCAGCTTGGTGCATGACCCGTTCGCGAAGATGCTCGATGAGCTGAGGATTGCGAAATTGCGAGCCTGCCCGAGCATTAGCTCTGACATACATACGCACACTTTGCGGCGAAACTTGGGATGGCTGAAGCCAAGCAAGCCTGCTGCCAGTCGATGTTGCAAAGCGGCCAAAATCTCCAGGTAAGCAGCGACCTAGAGCCAATGCCTACAAAAGTTGCAGCGTCGCCGTTGTTGTTGTTATTGTGGCATGCAGCATGGCTGTATCTATGGCTATGATACGTACAGCTTTCGTGAACAAACCAATAGCGGGTGTCTGAACGTAATACTGCAAACCATCTTCAACAACGCTTTATGAGCAAATCACTCACGGCACAACAAATATCAGTAAGGCACTGACAACGTAGTTCTCGCAGGATGGACCATTGCTCCTGGCACTGATTGGTGTTGCTTCGCCAATTTGGTGGCCGTCCTGCCCCCCCCCGGCCCCCATCGCCTCTCTGAGACCTTTCTCACCAATGAGACAAATCCTAATCTTTATCGGCGGCCGCTGGTTGCATAGTGCACTAGAGCAGGGGTTCCATATGCCAGTTGGCATCACAATCCCCCCTAGTACATCATGAATCTTGCACATGTCCTTTTGTATTTAATGAAAATTCGATGCCATGACTCCCCACGCTTTGCTTCGCCTGACGTCTGCCTGAGAGGTGGTGCGTCGCACGAGGTCCAGGCGTGCGGCCACCTGCTCTGGTCTTGACATATCCATTCATATCTACAAGCACGGAACTCAAACGATGATGCCCTGTCGTTCTGCACACAGTACCGTAGTTGTTCTTGATGGCGAGAATGAAGACTGTTAACTTGCGTTGGCAGCTGAATTTGCTGTTCGCTGCTGGTAACTTCTCTCGTCAACCCTGTTGGTTTTGATTTTTTACTTGGGGTACAACCAAGACACATCTATCACTGTATTCCGTGCCCAGCAGCCTGTCCGTTCGGTTTTGCTCAGGTGTTGTCACTAACCGACTGCGATTTCCACGTCGGCCATGTGCTCGCGATGCCCACCTCCCTCGCACTACAGTTTCGTGGCAGCAAGTGTCCAGCTGTGATGCGGTATCCACTTGGGTAGCTATTCCCAGCATTAGTGGTGCCCCTGTCTCCGTCTGTGTTTAGTCCATGGCGGCCTGCTGAGTGTGCCGGCGTACCGATCGTCATCTGGGTAGTGTTCTAATTGGGTTCGTTGGGCAGCCCGATAAATCACATAGACAACCTCCAGGTCGTTCTGCTTGGCCTGTTCCGGTGTTATTTCTGATTGAGGTGTCGTTGCCCTCGCAGTTGGTGGTGCATTCTGGTGCTCAGAGGATGTGTCGTTGCACAGCATCAGTTTCCACTCCCCAACCGTGCCTCCACTGCCGAGAAAGCCGGTACCGCCAGCAGCTCAATGCAGAAGTCTTCCATATCAGATGGCAGCCGGCCCTGCGACAAGGAAGTCTTCACTTGGAGTTTAAACCTTGAATTCAGCTGTTGTCCCGTCCAGGCCCGATAAGATCGACGCACATGTCTTTTCTCTGACCCAGACACCCAAGCATCCAAACCCCGCCAAACCTGTGAATAGCGGGCTGGGTTCAACTCGGGTTTAACTATATCAGGGACAATTGTGGCATAGTGATACCGAACCATGAAGGCCTCCAGGATATCAAAAGCCCTCAAAACCTTCTGGCCCAACGCAGAAAGCAGGGGCTTGGACCCTGAGGCTCGCCGCCAACAGAGGTACTGCGCTGATTCCCGGGAAGTTTTGGGCTAAATTAAGGCCTAAAGATACACATCCCAACATCGAACAAAGGCTCAGTTGCGTCAGAAAGTACATCGTAACCCTAAACGACTCCAAGGCCCTTAACCTTAACCCTCGACCTTTCTGCCATTCAACTCCGGTGTAGCCTCCAGGGATCTGCAGCCCACCTCGACTCCCGACGGTACGTCGTGCCACCTTTGCTTCTAAGGGCACTGACTTGTAGCATTCTGTATGAAGGGCCTATATGGGGATACAAGGGGTTTTACATGAGTCAAGAGTTTCGAGTTTGGCGAATCGACTTTCACGCCTGGCCTGCTTGGTCAGGATTCAAGACAACTGGTACAGAACGACACTCCACCAGTTCACAGACACCATAGCGAACACGTGGCAAGCAGTTTGGGGTGAAAGGTTTTGAGAGATTCTTCTTTGCTGCCTCCGATTCGTGAAGACACCTCTTCCAGATCCCCACTCCCTTCTGCAATCAGCACCCCGCATCCCTCAGACTTCATCGTATTCAGTCATGTTGTTGACGATGGCCAGGCACTGCGACATGGCTATTCGTGCATCGCATGGTTAACAGCTTGCGCGAAAACCGATATAATTAGGGGCCTGAATAATCAGAAGAGGGTTTGGGGGCATTTTAAACTGTAATTCTAAACAGGAGACCCCCAAACAGTCACAGTATCGGTAATTCCTGTCAGGCCCTCTATACTCACCCTGACTCTTGGACACCTAAGGCCCAGGACCGCGTCTGCTTGAAATCCAAGATCGTGAGCCCCAAACTTAGAACAGAACTTCGGCGTCCCGCAGAGCAGATATATGCTTTTCATTCTATTACTATTCTTACGATTACTAACATTATTTCTAACAGTTAATGTTACTGTTATTCAACTATTTGTCCATTCTTTTACCTCTTTCTATGCTTGTTACTATCTTGTTCTTACACGGCTCCTCTGGTCGTTCCTTGAGGCTGTGACATGCAGTCCACGCTGCGACGCCACAGGGAGGGTTGCGACTTCATCACCCGAGCCACCTCACAAAGGAGCCCTTGATCAGCATCTAGGCTTTGACTCTTGGGATATTCGTGCACGATGTGCGTGTTCCTTGGGAGGTAGTACTATCAGTGTCATGAGGCTTCGAAAAAAATGTTCACAGAGAGTGTGTTGGGAAAGTGAGGTGGTGCAAGATTTCAACCCAAAGGCTCGGGCGAGGCTTTTCAGAGTTACATTGGTGATAGACAGGATAAACACAGGCTTCGGGTTCGGTGATCCAGAAATGACACTGCAGCCTAGGGCATATGTACTCCCAAAACCCCTTGCTGCGGACGCTCTTTCAAGAGGCAATAGTCTTGGCGCCTCTCGGACAGAGCGATCAGCCAATGGAGCAAAGACCAAGGGCTCCTGCTGCGCAGCGGCGTAGCGAGTAGACACCCCAAGTCCCACTACGCGATCCTGTCGTAACCACGCCTTTGGGGGATTTCTCATTGCTTCTGCATCGATGAGTAGTGTGTGATTTACACTGTAGACTGCATTTCCGCGAGCACTGACGCTCTTTAGCTCAGTCCTCAGAAACCTAGAGGTACCTAGAGGCTCCATAGTAGGTTCTGTTCGGGAATCTTATTTAGAATTCTATAAGGTAATCCCCCAAAAGGATTCTTCTGTGGAGCCTATGGGTATCTACTGGCAACCCGGTAGCGGGAACTGGAAAGTTTGAAATCATCACTTAAAAACCTTCAGACTAAACCCTGAAATCTAGGGGCCTTACTAATTAGAATAGGGTTTATTTGGGGCCCATTCTACTATAAGCATAATAAGGAACCCCCAGAATCGTATAGGTAATTATTTAGGCCCGTATATTGGGGGGTAGGTGCGGGGATTAAAAGGGTTGTGGCTTGGCCTGGGGTTTCAGGCCCATCGAGGACAACTTTGGCAACCTAGGGATCTGATAGGTATATGAGCCGGGTCTTGTCGGGAAAGTTATTCTCGCAGAGGAGCTTGCGGCCTTTCATTCATACTACGCACTTCTGTACACAGGAGATCTGCCGCCAGGCCCTGGCCCAATTTCACGTGTCTTCCATATATGTCTTCTGTCGCCAAGCTGAAAGTTCGCGAGCCTCTTGGAAGACCAAGGACATGTCCACGGCCTGCATGCTGCATCCATGGGCCTCGCAGCATTCAGAGGCTAAGCTTCGAAAGTGCTCTCAAGATAACATGAAAGTTGGAATCGGAGATTTTGTCTTAGGTCGCCCCGCAAGGAAACTGCTTGCGGCTATCGCGCCTCTCCCAACTTCAAACAGCGCAGGCTTGGAGGCGTGATGCGGCATTGCACTATCGAAACATCATGACCTGCAGAAAGGGACCCGTAAATTCAAGACAAGAGAACTCCTACAAATCCAAGAGCCTGCTCCAGGTTGCTGTAGATGGCCAGGACGAGGCTCAAACAGTCCTGAGACACTGAAGTTTGAGGCTTGGAGCGGAGATCAAAGGCTGCCTCCGAACTCGGGTTCTCGGATCTCTGTAGTTCATCGCGCTGACACTCGGGGGCCAGCCTCACATCACCGCTCTGCACGATCCGCGAACTCTAAGTCGAACCTTAATACGGTTGCACCCTCTGTGTATTCCCATATGTAGGGGCCTTCATGATGAGAGAATAGGGTTTTCAGGTCCTATTATAATATAGCTATTATAAAGAACCACCAAAATAGTATACTCCAGTTTCTGGATCCAACAAGCCAATCCCTCGTTCGCTTTTAGTACGTTGGGGTGCGCACATCAAAGTGTCAGTTGTTTAACCTTCTTGAATATTTCTGTTGATGATATAAACCCCGCATTACCTCATGGACCCTAAACTATGGGAACAATGGTATGTTCGATATCATGGGTAATGCAGGGTTTATATCATCAACCGTTCCTCTGACTCTCTGCATGTCTGAAGTGGACAAGGCAGTCTAGGTAGCTGCCCCACACTATTCTACTCTACCCTGCAGCGTAGCATACCACACCATATTCACCATATCCCCTACCATACCATATCGTATCAAACCGTACCATTCCATGCCATATTATATTATATCATACCATACCGAACCATACGAGACCATACGATACCATCCACACCATACCTTGCTAAATCCCTATGCCTGATATGCCATATCGTACTTTACTGGATACGATGTACGATATTGTATATATACATATTATATGTATATATACTAACTATTCTACTAAGCTCAGACAGTTAAGAGTTTCCGGCGGCCTCCTCCGACTGCAGGCTTCTCAGCACGCGGAAGCAGCAATCAGCATCCAGGAAACTGGCAGAGACTGATTAGGACTTCGGGCCATTCAAGTAGGGGGAGTGGCAGACAACATCCGTTGCGACATCTCTTGCGGAATACCGCAGTATTACGCCTTATTTCAGCAAACACCGGAGCCGTGCGAATGGATCTTATGAACTTTGAGACAAGGTCCCTTCCCCCCCTTCCTCCCGCACCCCCTGTGACTTCATCCTACCTTAGGGTTTGACATGGACAGGTGCTGCCCTGGCCTGGGAAGTCCCACCATGCGGGTGAAGTAGTCGTCCAGCCCCGGAAAATGAAGGCCTCGTGCGGCATGCTTGCCGTGACCGAAGTTCTTCGGATGGTTTCGATTCAGTCTGAGGAACTCTGTCTGATTTGTCTCCAATGACACCCTCCAGACCCATGATTAGCAGCACCGCGCACAGATCTCCTCGTGTGTTGCTGGTCTTGTATTATCCTGTGTGCATCTTTGCAACATAATCATGCATGATCCAGTCGCTTCTCTCGGCTTATGCAATGGGGCCCATGCTCAAATCAATCTTGCCGCTGCGAGCCGCGAAGTCCGAATGTCCGGAAGCCAAGAAGACGAACGCCTGGGAAAGCTCTGAGATTCAGCAACGACGATCGTCCCATTTCGTGCTCAACATGAAGGTCCTGACGATCCGGATGGCGATGGTGGTGGGGAGTTCAGCCACGATGATGATGATGATGTTGATGACAAGGGGGAGCAGGAGGAGGTAATGCTTGGCGTTCAATCTCTTCAAATACTCGTGTTTTTATCACAGCCAACAGCAGCAGCACATGGAGCATGAAACGGAGCATGACGATCTCGGGTTTCTTGCAGGGTTTTGGAAATAAAGTAAGTCTTGAATTGTTAAACTTTAAACAAAACCCTGGCCCATAAACCGAAACCCTTGTGCTTGGAAGTCTGGGCTCTTCGGGTTCGACGTGCACACGATGAGTTAAGCATGACGAGCGGAGGGAACGCGACAGGAGCACAACTTGCCCCCTGGTGGCTAGGCGGCTAGGCCACGAGCTCAGGTGTTCGCAAGTTTCCGGCCCTTCTCACCGGCTTGGGCCACTCTTGTCGTAGCCCAGGCTTCAACATCAAATCCGAATCTTAAAGCTCTGAGGCTGCTAAAGCCTAAAAAAGCCCAAACCCTAACCCCAAACAAGCTCATACTTTAACACTATCCCGATTGGTAGGTAGGATCCTTGGTTGAGGATCCTCACTAAAGGACCTCTTTGAAAGCATCACTGATATACACACATATATATATATATATATACAAAATAAACAAATATGTGCATGCATGTACACATCCCATACACATGTGTGTACATATATATATATATGTACATGTATATGTATACCAACCTTCTGGGCTCCCCGACCTCTTTCGAAGGCTGGTCCTCAACTCCCGGCCTCGCGCTGGGAGGGCTTTGGGAGGCGCACAGAGGTCAGATTTTCCAAGAAGGGATGAGAGTTTGAGATTCCGTGCTTCTCACGACTTCGAAAGACTAGTTGTTTCGTGGAGCTGAAATCAAAGCTCTGGGTCGGATGCTGGAGGTTTTGGAGTTTTTGTTTTGCTCTTACGGAAGCCGAGTGCGGTCGGGGAGTATATTATATCGTGATCAATTTCCATCGCAACTCCGACCAGCTTGGGGTCTCGTCACAGGGATAAGCTCCTGCCTGCAGCGGCACATAAATTTTTCCGACCCCAGCCTGACTCGTCCGAAAGCTAGACTTAAGCCTTGGGCTCCCTGCAGGAAGACCATGTTGGCCAAGTCCTCCTTCAAGAAGCTTAGGGCCACATCCTGCGCGAGGGATTCTAGGTTCTGGTAGAAAAATCCCGACCGTCGTTTGCCTCCCGCCTGCGCCTGGCTGGGTCTAGACGGGTTTGCGGAGAGGGCTCTTGAAGGGCTTCACATCTACACGGGTCTGCGCTGCAACCACTGCAAGCAAGCAGGCTTCAGGGGGCAGTAGTCAGTACAGCGGCGTAAATAGCCGGAGCATCCCAGCTGTAGGCCCGGGCTTAGCGGTCAGCGAAGTGATGGACTCCCAAGCGATCCCGGCGAACGAGAACCGAAAATCAACAAGAGATGACAACCAGAGCCACAACTACAAACAAGTTGTTTCCGAAATAAGACGAAAGCTTATCGTCAGCCAAGAGCGTCCTCGGAGTCATCGTTGTCAATGCTCTGGCAGAGCTTCTCCAAGTCTTGGTACCTCCCAACCCGGTACGGGCCAGGTGTGTCTCCATGGTCTTCCCTGGACGAACCCCACACCCCAAACTCCAAACCCAATTTCCGAAACTATTACCCCCAAACCCAAAACCCCTGAAGCCCTAAACCCTTGAAGTAACCCTTATAGAACAGAACCCCTTAAAGGAGCCTTTAAAGGATCCCTGTCAATTCCTGAAATAGCCAGGCATGTCTTTAGCAGAGCGGGGCTCAGAGCTTGCGAGATGAAAGTCTCAAGGGTCTGGGGATTCAGGTGTGCAAGGGCCACACTATACTATAGTACACTATCATATACCATAACCGAATAAACTACAGCATAATCGATAATAAAACATATAATAAATAGAGAATATAACAATTAACCTATAATGTGTAATATGATACGTGAGGTTCATGGTGCGATAACGGCCCCCAGGGTTCTGGGCGCACGCCCTGTGCAGCGTGGAGGTAGCGTCGGCAGATCCCTGCACTGCAAGCATCCGCATACGAGGCACGGTCTGTGCAAAACCAACAGCTTCGACTCACACACTCGCACAAGGGAGGCATGGCTTCAATTTCGGGTGTAGAGGTCTAGGGTTTAGGGCTTCAACTCGCACACTCACCTGACACTGTCACGGATTCATGAGGTCAGCTATAGAGTTTAGGGTTTGAGGGTTAGGATTCGGGTTCAACAGAAGCGCTAGGTGCACGAAATGTCTAATTAAATCCTGCATCCTGTAGCCTACGCTCAGCCCTAACCCTCAAACCCTGACATGCCCTCCATTCGAGTTCAACTTGAGGTCGGGTCCCCATAAAGTAGCCCTTTTTGCCACTGGACTCAAGTCTAGCCAGTCTACGACCCACATAAAGTAGTCCTAAACCCTAAACCCTTGTGTCGAAAAAGCCTATACGCTAAGTAAATACTTCAGTACTGCTGCCATGAATACCCCCATAACCCTACTCTAGAAGACTAGGCTCCTGCAGCAGCTGCTTGCACCGATTGCTCCTTATACGGCCTAATGTAGGGGCCTTAATAAGTAGAATAAGGTTTGTTTTTTTTTGGGGGGGTGTTGTAGTTATCATAAGGAACACCCAAAGTAGTACAAAATGATTAGGGCCCCTATCGTAGGTCTTAGCAGCTACGAGCCGGCTCCTGGGGACGAAAGCGAATCGTCCGGAGCCGCTTTCGGCGCCCGATGATCCGCAGAAACCGTGGCAGTGAGAACTTTTGTCTTCTTCTTACTGCAAGGTAATGTAGGAACCTGATTAAGAAACCTCGGGCTTTTATGAATCCTACTATTTCGGGGTTTTAGGCCCAGGGTTTCTTAATCAGGTTCCTACATTAATTAAGAGCCAAGAAGGTAGCTCCCTGGTCTGGCACTCCATAATCGCCCCTGAAGCGACGGTTTGGAGTTTGCGTTTCGGGCACCCTTCAAAGAACATGGGAGGCCAAAAAGGGGGTTTAAGATTCTTGGGGTAGGGATTCCTTAACATGAACCCTATTATAGGAACCGTAATCCCTAGCTAAAACCCCTTTGGCCTCCTATGGAAAAAAACATGCTGCCAAGCCCGCTGCGGAGGTCGCTGCGGCACGTAGCCGCGCCTGCACCTGACTGCTAGGCTTGAAAAGTACAGCGCGTTTTTCGAGGACTTTCAAGCAATCCCTAGAAATCCCTAGAGCCGTACATTCCTGACATTGTAACTATGCTAATCATATGTTATATGATGTTGATTATGTATTTTTCGATCTGGTATATTTTTTTGTACCCAGGCTCTATTTCGATCTGATATATCACGTTTACATCTTACCCCGGACCGGCAAATTTCCCGTCCGGGCCTGGCCTCAAGAGAGCTCAGGAGTGGGATGCCCAGGACGTCCAAGAAAAAGGGCTGCAACTGGGCCGCGAAATGCCCCTGTCCGAGCCGCTTTGTTGAAGTAGGCGAGCAATTGTTGTTGAAGTTTCAAGATTTTTCCCTCCTAAGGCTCAGGGGTTTTATGGTTTCTCCGCTCACACTCGGACAATCCAGGCGAGGCATATGGTTCGGAGGTCTGTTGAGTGAAACGACACTATAGGGAGTTCACAATCAACTCAACTAGAAGTCAGTCTGTACTCGTCTGAGGACGTCACTCCCCCTCTCAAGGTTCTGCCACAGATTGGTGTCAGACAGCCTGCTGACACAAGAAACTTGAGGACTACGAAGGCTGCCGATCACTATGTCGCGTGTATAAGGTGCAATAAATGTGGCCCCAATAAAAGATAGGAGATATTACACTAATACACCGGGGCGATGAGGAATAGTCGTGATCTGTTCTTGGGCATATCAAGTCTACCGCTGTCGTTACTTCTCCGTCCGTTTCAGACGGAGATGCCATGTGCAAGGGTTTGGGGTTTTAGGGTTTGTTCCGGTTTCGGAGTTTCGGTCTATGCAACTGCCCATGAACGCCATGTCAGCATCAGCTAGTGCTCGCAACACCCATGCCAAGCAACGGGCAACAAACACCTTAGAATCGCCATACTGTTGCTTCTCGCACAACAGTGCTGCTGCTGGCGCTGTTCCTGGTTCTGAAATAGGGGCCTTAATAATTAGAATAGGGTTTTGGGGCCCATTATACTATAAGTATAATAAGGAGCCCCCAAAATAGTATAGGAAATTCTTTAGGCCCCTATACTAAGCCTTAGCATTGTGGTCTTGGCAGCGACCGGACCCGAGGTCCTAAAAGTACCGAAACAAACTGAGCGGTTCCAAATGCCAAAACGGAATATCCAAGCCAGCGATAAATACTAACTGTACTATCTTGGGGGTTCCTTAAAATTACAATTAAGGTATACTGGGCCCCAAAACCTTATTCTGCAATCATGATACTGGCAAAAATGCTGATGACAACAGCTCCAGCCTCAAGTGATGTGAAGCTCACCTCCACACCAGACGGCACATCCAACCACCTTACTTCAAGGTTAATGGCTGTGGAGTGTGCAGCATGGTCCACTTTGACTTTGTATGGCGTTTATGGGGATTCGGAGTCTCATGGGCAGCTGCATGCAAAGCATGGCAGCAAGCACCCATCACTTCGAGCTTCAGGGAACCGGGATCCAGCGAAAGGACATGTAAAGACTTGGGGGATCTTCCTCTCTGGCATGTTGAAAATTTCTCCGGGTTTCGTGGTTGGTTTGTGTGCAACCAGCGAATAACCGAGACTCAGTATCTCTTCTTCCATGCGCCAGTAATGAGGGAAATGCGGTATGCACATTCCGATGTTATGTCAAATGCTATGATTCTAGAACTCATCGCCATGCTTCCGGGAACAAATAGCATGAGCTCTTTTGCGGTGTTGCCGGCGGGTACCAGGGGTTGTGGTTGCAGGTCCCTGACCACAGAGCCCAACGCCCGCGTGCAACTTGAACGGTCGAGCGTGGATCTCTTGGCATGGCGGGCTTTTTCCATCTTGCAGATACCCGTCGATGATTACGATTCTCCCTCAGCTTTCTTCTTCTTCTCCATGGCCGTCAGGATGTGTCTACCTTAGAGCAAGGAGTGCGAGCAACTGCCGGGACAAAAACTAACAGACCCAAATCCGCTGCGACAGCTTCATGAAGCAAATCCTGAGCTCCGCACCTGTCGGGGAGTTCTTCAGGTCTTTCTCCTTACAGATATGGAGAGGGCTGGGAGCGGAAATGAGTGATGAAGGCACCGACATAGAAGTTATTGAAGTAGCACCCCAAAAGAAGCTGAGAACATTCAAGCTGGAACCTATACTATAGGTGTCGATTGCAACAGCCAACCAAACTTGCTTGTAATTATAGGGCTCTGTATTAAGCAACAATGAAAGACTAACAGTCATCCCTTTCGAAAGCTAGCATAAGGCCCTGCAGAATATAATGAATTGCGCACACTGTGTAGTCCTTAACCGAAAGTTGCTGAAACATGGCTCAGGCACCAGCACCTCGATGCGTCGTCGAAGCTCCTGCCAGTCCTCCCCGCGGCTGTATTGGATGATTCGCTGCGCCGTATAGTTTCCGAACCTCGGCATGTAGAGCTTGGCGATTCGCTCTGCTGAACATCGGTACACACACAGAACTGGAAGGAAACAGTCGCTCACACACACAACACCAAGTCTCAAAAAACAACAACTGGGGAACCGCAATGCATAAGCCATAAAGGAAGGCATGAAGCTTATCTGTCATGAGCTGGTTTATAGGTGCTCGCTGGTCACCAGCAGATCCCAAGACGGCAGAATACAGTGCCGCACGCTCCTGGCAGCTGGGTCTTGCTGAGACATTGCAGGCTCCACAAACAAAACTTCACCCGGCTCCACCCAGATCTTTTACATGGTGAAAGGTTTAGGGTTTTGGGCCATCTGTTGTGTCCTCTCACTCCAGCGCCTGTGAAACTAAGAGTGCGCCAAGCTTTCGTACAGTCGTTATCGTCGACGAGAGCTAGCAAGTTTTAGACCTCCGGGGCCGATTTGCAAAGGTTGCTGTTGTCAATTGCTGCCATGTGCAACATTCGTGGAGATACCGCAACTTCACGAACAAGACATGCAGGAGCGTGGTCCTAAGGTTCCTAAACAGGTACAAGTATGATGGGCATGCCAACAGTCAAATAATTTACTGCTCGTGACCGGACGGGCTCCGACGGTGCCAAAGCCCACAAAGCTTCAAGCAGAAGACTCAAGATCATTTCCAATTTCACCTCGTCACTATTCTGGCTACAATGTTGGCAACGAGCTCCATACCCTTCTGAAACACACCTACCACAAGCCACTCCATAATGATGTAGGGTCTCCACTAGTTGGAATAATGGGCTTGCTTGATGCTATAGTTAGTACCATTATAGTGAGGAACCCAAGATGGAAAATTATGGAAGATTTCGTACTTTCATGTTCTCCTCCTCCAGGCTCTCTGCCGCGGGCCCGTCGGAGGTTACTTCAAGGCACTTCTCGACCACGTTGCTTGAGACCTGCCGGAGGGGGTCGGGCTGACTGGTGAGGGTGGTGGGTTGAGGGTCTGTCGGGTTTTACGCAATAGGTGCTAGCTTCAGTTCTCCAGCAAATGGCCCTGTACTAGCTTGTATAGTCCGCTGCAGTAAATCCAGCCTTGTTCTTGGAGTAATCAAGGACATTCCTGCTGATCGCTTGCACGATACTTCGCTTGTCTTCAAAGCGCCCCTTCTCCAGAATGCACTGAATCACATAATTGGCATGCTTGTCTTTGGATAACTTCCCCACTGCACTCACGATGGGGTCTAAGACGCCATCCAGGCGTTCCAGTGGGCAGTTCTCCAAGAGCCTCTGGATGATCCGACAGCCATAAATATGGGAGGCCATGCTCTCGGCTGTCTCTGAGCTCTTCGACACAGCTGCAATGACGAAGTGAACCTGGACGGACATTTGCCGTTGCTTGTGGCCGCCGACCGGCGATACAAGCCCGAAGTCCCTCAACCCCGAAACCCCAAACCTGATATCTTCAAGGGGTTCTGGATTACATACTATTAGGGATCTATAAGGGTACTATAAGGGGTTTAGGCTGCCTCATCGAGGTTCTCTACAACCTTCTGGATGACGTGATTGCCGTTCATGTCCTCGATGCATTCTATGACATTGTCCATGATCTCGGAGGCAATGTCCATCTTCAACTGCTGGGGCAATGCCTCCATCATCTTCTGGACTACTCTGCAACCATACTTGTCCTGAAGCAGCATCTGGCAGGTCGCCACAGGCACACCTCTGCATCCTAATCTTAGGTGAAGAGAAGAACTTGGGCATCTGAACAAACATGCTCCTACATCTGGAAAGTGTCAAGATGCTTGCGGACAAGTGAATTTGCAAGTACTACGCTACCAGTCACGAGTCCTGAAACTGAAGTTCAACCCAAACCCTGCCAAGTCCTTCGCGAGCTCCAGTATGCTGCCCTTGACTTTGGAGACCAAAGAGCTGTGCTGCTCCTCCGTCCCAGCCTCGAACAACTTCTGCACCACAAAGTTCCTGAATCGCTAGAGCAGGGTAGGGCCGGGCGACTAAAGCGATCGCATTCCACATGAGGGGGCCGTTCAAATCCACCTCCAGGAGACGTAGGTCGATACATACGACTGACTGCAGCCCCCCGGAATACTCATCTGAACAGCAGTCATACCGAAGCCGGCCTTCGAAAAGGCTTATAGTTTCCAAAAGATTGTGCAAGCTTAGACTCCCAAACGCATCATTTGCTAAGTGTACAACGTCCGGCAGCGCCCTTTCGAAGATCTGCGCTCGCTCTTCAGCACCTGAGTAGGTCGGGCCGCAGGGCTTTTTCAAAAGGGCCTTAACAATGAGAATGGGATCTTGGTGACATTTGTTGCATGGAGCCCTAATTAAGGAGTAGTGTTGGCAGCTCTTCCCGCGTCTCTACCGTGAAACACACGCCAAAAAACATGAACCCCTTCATATTTCGTTTCTTAGAAGACTGGGGCCATGGTCACAAAGACCAGCTGTTGTCCTACATAACAGTAGAAGCCTCAAGAGAGATTTATGGGGAATCCCAGCCCAGCACTGTTTGACCTTAATCCGGTTTCCAACTTTTTGGGGTTTACTGTATAATTAGCAAGCAGAATAGATCCACAGTTTCCTTCGCGAGTCCAACATGAAACCCACGATTGCAAATCACACTTTTCACATGATCACACAAGTGGTCTTCACCGCTGTCCGACATTAATTGGCCGTTGTCGCGCAGTTCATGGATTGCCTCCTGCTTGTGGTCTGCACCGAGAAAAGCATGAAGCATCATGAATAACCCTCCCGCGACTGCGGCTTGACTCTAGTGGCACTGATGACGCCTTTACTTCACTGCCCATATATGGCTTCTGATCCGACGAATGCTGTGGTGCCACATTGGCGGTAATGGCATGGTGATGATGACGCAGATGTTGAAGATAGCTGTGAAGGCACGGCGGCTGCAGCCAATTGGTGTGATGGCGGCCACGAAGATGGATGTTCGTGCTCAAGCTGTTCTGATTGTTCATCAGAAACTCCACCCCATCACTCCATAACTCAAAAACCTGGCCCAGAACTTCACATGAATGCCAAGTCGTGACTAGTATGATTCAGGTGTTAAGCCTCAGGTGCCTACATCATTGTCTCTCCTGCCTTCAAAACTTCGCCCTAATCGTTCACACAAACTCAAAGCAGCCGTTGTAAGGACAGAAAGCCAAAACGTGTATTGGGGAACCAAGTGGGATCCTTCGTAGCTCCGAGACACTGGAGTTCCCACTCAGCTTCCACTGCAGGAATCGGCTCCCTTCCTGTTCCTGCGCAGCCTTGACCAATCTTGGCAACACCTCCGGGCAGTCCAATGCAAGAAGACTTGCGGTGACTCTTGCAGCTGCTGACCGGGGGACGGCATGATCACCCAATGGATTTACAGTGAAACATAAGCCCGTTAACCCAATGCCTTGTGCGGCATGATGACCTACAACGCACACGTGCAGATGTCTCACTCAGCGTTGATCTGTCGCCGTTCCAGGCCATACTTCCGATATCTGTGTGTTATTAGATACTCGGCTGTGTAGTCCCCTGTGTAGCATCCCAGAGCACCTCAGACATGTTGAGCCGGATTTCCGCCGCATCCACCACGGGGTTTTCCGGCGAGGCCTCCACCAAACAAAGCTCGGGCTCAAACGTAGATCGCCCAAGCAAAAATGATAGTTATGCAGGATTTGCATGTTAGCTAGATTTTTCTTGAGGTGCCGCATGCTGCAATCATTCCTTGAGATTACAGAGTCGCACGTAAGATGACGAACTTCGCAAGCACCCGTCTTCGTTTCGGTCTTCGCTTTGCTCTTCACGGCTTTGTGCTGCTGCTAGGGGGGGTTAAGCACTTTGCCGGCTGGGGTTTGTGAATATGTCTATAATGACCTAGGGATCCAAGGACTCACAAGTAAGGCTCTGGGGCCGAAGACCATTCTACATAAGGCTTTGGGGCTATTTTGATCCCCAGGGTAAGGTTTACGGTTGAGGCCTTTTGCAGGCCGAAGCCTCTCTTCGAGAACAGGCCGAGGCCTCTCGAAAGCTGAACATGTTAGAACTTGTTTCCATTCCGTACGGCCGCTCTTCGTTAAGCAGGGACTGGCTCAACAGACGTGTGTTCTTTACCGTGTGTGTGTGTGCGCATTGAAAATCCTAAATGCTTCTGAAGTAGAGGCAGAACAGCTGCGGACACCACGCTATCAGAACGCCGGGCAGGCTTTGACGAAGTTAGCACACCCAGGGCAACCCAAGCTGCCACTCACGGCTTTGGGATTACGTACCATATAGGGGCCTAGATAATTGTCTATACTCTTTAATTTGGGAGTTCCTTACAATCATTGTGGTACAATGGGCCCCAAAACCCTATCCTAACTAGATTCTAAGGCCCCTATATTAGGGTTTCAGGGCTCTCAGGGTTCTTCGTTGAGTTGCGTTGGAGTCTGAACAGCTAGAGGCCTTCAGAATATGTCTAAATGCAACTGGAGCTGGGACCCCGGGTTGGAGAACCCCCGGAAATTCGTGGAGACACGTATCCCAGGGTGCAGGGTCTATAATACGACCATACCTAGACCCCCAAAAGCAGGTGAAATACTGGCCCAATACCTATAAAAGGCCATTTATTCTACGTTGGGGTCCAGGTAATAGTCTAAGCACAAACCCGAAACCCGAAACCTAAAAACCCAAAGGAGCCTCCCGCTGCTTTCGCTTCCCTCGGGGAGGGCCGGCGTTGTTCTCCTGCACGTGGGGTGGCTTCAGGCTTAAGGTTTTGGGTCGCGCAAGGAGCCCCAAGGACCAATCCCTGAACCCTTCAGTTTACGCTCTCGCAACTCGGACTGCGCCAGACGAGGTCTCTCGATCCGTGCGACACTCACTCCTAACCACTGAAGTTTGCCCTCGGTTTTAAGGGTTTAGGGATCTCAAACCCTTACGACATCACCACTCAAGTACAGAATCATCAGAAGGAATACAGGAGGTTATTGGGCTTTAGGACCCCAAACCATCTCCATCTGTTTCAAGTCGATGTGGCCACCCTAGGGTTTGGGGGGTTTAAAGTTTTCGAGCTTAGGATTTTGCAGTGTCCGATAAGATCCCGCTATTCAGAACCCAATTTTTGAAGACTGCAAGAGCCAGCACATGCCACTCTCAGACAGCGCAGAAAGATGAAAGCCCTGTTGAGGCATCATCACTGCCCTCGTGGCTGATTGTGTGCTTTCTCTTGCTTCTTGTTTTTCACTGTAATATCGTTTCTCTTTCGGTGCGATTCTTGCGATCACGAGAAGGAGCGCCTGTAAATTCAGGGGGCTGAGAGTGGCATGCTGCAGAAGCCAGAAGCCATCGTAACCCTGAACCCACATTACCACTTTACATGCTATAATCCCACAACCCCAAACCCTAACCTAAACCCCAAGCCCGAAGTCTCTGAGTCCCATAACCCTTGCTTAGTGCTGGCTTTAACCCTCAATCCGGCTCCTTTTTGCCCTTCTGCCCCTTGCCGCCACCACGTTTCGCAGGCTCACGCTGAGTCTGACGCTCGGGGCTGTAGCTCCTGGACGGACAGTGCTCAGAGGTTGGGAAATCTCTGTTTCGTGATAACAAATCGGTGCCAAGTGCTTATCATTCATGTAGGTTTTAGGACTGTGCTTGCTATCAGTATATTGCCAAGGAGCCCTCTTCATACGATCAGTCCTACGTAGTATGGCTCTTGTTGGGTCGTAGGGTGTGACCTTAGGGTCAATTTTCACGCAAAATCCCGGCCTGGTTCTTGGTGGGGGAGGGTAGTGAGGTGGGGGATAGTGTGGAGGAGGATAGCCGTAGCCGGGAGGGGGTGGGCCGTAACCTGCAGGTGGTGGGCCATAGTGCCCATAGCCCGGAGGCGGTGGGTAGTAGCCTCCTCCGTAGGCTCCGCCACCGTAGGCTCCCGGCGGCGGTGGGTAGTGCTGCCGGTACGGGTCATAATAAGGATCGTAGGCTGGTGGTGGGGGGTAGCGGTAGTCACCCTCGTACCTTCTTTCCGGATCTCCATAAGGATTGTATCTTCTGTCCGCGTCTAGGTACGGATCCTGGCCCGCTCTTGAGGTAGGAACGCCGGCGTAAGGATCCCGATGTTCCCTGACAGCACGGTCATCCTGGCGCCTCGGAGATTGTGGATCATCGTGGCTACTGCGCCAGTGGTGACGATCTTGAGGCTCTGCAGGCGGGGGCCGATCATAGGGGCCAGGCCGGTCGTACGGCCCGTGCCGATCGTGTTGTCGATCGTATCGATCATACCGATCATAATGCGACATGGCTCGGCTCAAAAGCTCATCTCAGCATCCTGACTCCTGAAGGCCTGAAAACAGCCTTGGTGCCTTTTAGGTAAGTTTACTTTTTCTGCGTAGCCTCACTCAGTAGCTGGGCCAGCTTTGCCATTAGAATCCTCTCTTCATCAACAAGCAGCCTTGGGCCAAACGGTCGAGATGTGGAACAGCAATCCCTAGGGCCCCAGTCACCTGAATAGTAGGTTACTGAGGTATAGAATAAATGGTTAGTAACCTACTACTATGTAGGTAATTGGAGCCCTAGGGAATAATATCAAAACTGTGCCGTTGTCAGCAACATGATGGTGGAGGTGCCAGAGCAGAGCAGAAGACTTTCAAGGCCGGAAGTATGTAGAATCAGGCAACATGCTTCAGACACGGTACCATTTCGGAAGAACCCGGGCAACGGTGTCTTGGCCGATACCTAATTACACAGAAAACGCCGCAGACGAAGATCCAAAGCATATGTCGAAAGCTTCTGCACCGCAGCTCTTAAGCCCTTGACACAGCTATATCCCAAATCCGAATGCTAAACCCGAAACCGGGTGAAGATAGCTTTTTTGCCGCACTGGCCATCTTGATGCCGCTGATCAACCGTGGAGTTGCGAGGCATGTCTGGCACTACTACAGGGGCTTCAATGATTAGAGAAGGGTCCAGAGATTCCAAGCCATTGGAGCTGTTTCGAGAAATGGCCTTTGGGATAGTTCTGAATGATTGTTGTTGGTGTTTTTGGACTGTTTCGATGAATATGCTCATTTCGTGGCTTATGACTTTTCGTATTTTTATTTTTTGTGTGACTAGTGCTACTACTACCGCCATAGCCGCTACCACCCTGTACCGCGGGCGGTTGTTGCTTCAATTCCGAGACACAAGGTCTTCTGGTTCTGCGCAAGCAACAAACGACCGGTACCCGTTCGCGACCCCTTTAGGAATCGTCTACACTTTAGGGCCTTTCGGGTTCAGGGATCATGGAGGGTCGATTGTCTGGGATGGTGCTACCGCCTGCCATCTGCCACATGGCGTGGCGAGCTACGACTATTCCCACTGTCGACCTTGGCAGAGCTTGTGCGACACAGCCGCAGAACAATGCCTCGGCTCTAAGCACTCAGGATCTAATTTGTCATATTTTGTAAAGGTCTACAATTACCTGTTTCGTGTGTACATGCTACCGCGTTTTTCGTACAAACGAAGTCTTAAATCATTCAAAGGCGAAACTTTCAGCGACAATGCACGAAGCATCGCAAAAACGTTGTGTGTGGAAAAACAGGGCCCCACCGGCGTCCCTTTCTGCTAATTTGCAGGGAGCTGGGCTGCTTGGCTTCCACATGTAAGATGGAGTTCTCGGGCATCGGCAATGACATCGCAAGTGGGAACGGGCTAGACTGCTAGACCCCGTTCTAGACTCCAACTCTCTAACCAACCGTGGGCTTCGACGTCATTGTCTCGGCATTACAGGCCTGACACATGTATCTATCTGCTTGGCTATCGTTCACCAACGACCAGCCCTGGTCAACTCAATGTACGCACGCACACTTTCCTTGCACTTCATATCGAGCTCTAGATTTGTATTCGTGTGTGTGTGTGTGTGTCTGCGCATTCATGCATAGACGAAAGCATGCATGCACGGCATGGTCACTTACTTGCTTGCATGCACACAGATATAAGCCCATAGCAGTACACGCATGTACGGGTTCGCACAAACCAGGTGTGAATATCTGTCTCCAGTACACCCACAAATGCAGAGACCTACCTCAGTGTTCTACCTAGTGATGTACCTGTAACTAACATCAAGTACATATGTGCAGTCAGCAGATACTTGAAAAGGTATGGGTATGCATGTATGTATGTCTGAATGTATATGTACGTACGTGTGTATGTATGTATAACGCAACAGTGCAGACATGTGCACACAGGCTGCATATGCCTACCTGCACCGAGCTGCGAGAATGCGGAAATGCAGAAATGCTTGTAGCCGTGGCGGACATATAAGCTACAGAAGACCGGCTATACGGGCATTTCTAACATGCATCCCAAGCACAGATGACCAAGAAGGGAAGGACGGCATACTTCGCCAGCATTGTCAGAATGGTCTGCAAGAGTGACAGGATGCTGGAGCACTCTTCGGTGCACACCTATAGTCTCCATTGTAGTTCCTTTTTTTGGTTTTGCCAGTTTTATATGAAGGATCCTAAAAGGTAACCCCAAAAAGGAACTACAATGGAGACTATAGGCAGTGGCCAGTTTCATTTTCCAGATCTTTGCAGCTGAGAGCAACTGAGCATGCGCAGGACAACACCGCTCACAGTGCACTGCCTTTAATGTAGGGGCCTTACGTATTAGAATAGGGCTGCAGGCGATTGTTGCACTATAGTGTCATGAGGAACCCCCGAAAATAGTATAATCTGAATTATTAAGGCCTCTACAGTAGCCTGGAATTCGGGACCCCCAGGCCTTCCAGAGCCTCCGCGGCGTGCAGCCGCTGCTGCAGCTCAGGGTGCCGCACTGGTCCTGTTCAATGAAGGCCTGCAGACTTATAGCACCGGGTTGCAACTTCAACCACCTCCTGAAGCCAGAGAGCCACAACCTGCCGAGGCATTCAAGCCTCCGCCTCGGAAAACAGAATTCCTGTAATGGGGTCATATTGAAGCCAAGGCAAAAAAAAGCTTCAGACACCTTACCCCCCAAAACCCAAACCCACGTCTGGGTGACGCAAGCTGCGCCGATTCAACAGTGTGCGGGCATGATCAGGTCTCAAGGACAAGGGAGGTTTGTAGGGGAATGGGCATGTGTTTCTGCTTTTGATGTTTCTGGCTCGCTCTCGCCTGCGGTACTGCCACTTGTTGCTTGAACATCTTCATGGCGGCCTCACTCCCGATACTGTTGGTTGCTAAATCGAAAAAGCTCATGCCAGCCACTTCACAAATATGCCGCACTGTTTTAAGAAGTCTCGAGAGAAGTGCATGATAAACGACGAGTAAAAATCAACATGAATGCATGGTCGCAAAGCACCTGGCATGGCCAACCCGACGGAATCTAAACTAGTGTTGCCACCACGTACACCTACTGCATGGCGAGTACGGGCCACGACACAGACACCCTAGACCTTTAAAAGCCCTAAACCCGTGTGCGCGGAGCCCGAATGCATTGCCAACGCTGCAGAACTAAGGTTGCACTCCAACGAGAGCAAAAAAGGTTCGTAGCAACGGGAGTTTATGCGTACCGGCCCACACTTCCGCATACATGCATGCATACATACATGCAACCACACCCATAATTGCATCCCTCATCCACTAGACCCGAAATGCTAACAAAAATCCATGGTGCCCGCGCATTGCCTGGGAAGTCACGTGCTCCCAGCCAAGGAGTGCTTGGAGGAACATCGTGGTGGTGTCGTTGAGGGATAGACCTCATGCCGTGTCTCTCTAGAGTCTTCGGGGACATGGTCTTTGGAACCCAAATTGTGATAGTGCTTTGTTCGTTAAACGAACCCTATCAAGGCCTCAAAATGGTTGCAGCACCTCCCAGGTGACAAGCTGAAGTTAATTCCAATACTGGCATGTGTCCTAGCATCACCCCGAAGCTCCTAGCCAAAACTCTTGATCCGACAGCTCGTCGATGCCAAACCCGGCTCTTCAAGTCTGGCTTGATGTAACCATACTTGGCAAGCCGGGCCTCTGCCAGGACCCTCCTTGAGCCGGACGGTGTAGTAGCTGTCCCCTTCAGAGATACAGTGCCCTCGGTCGGCAGAACAAACATAGTCACGCCGGGCCTCGATACCCTGTGCAAGAACCAAGGACAAATTGCCCGGAAAGAACTGTCAATGCACTGGCTATTGCCGCAAAGGGTCCGTAGCAAGCAGAGGCGAATACCAGGCGTAGCTTTTCCTGCCGACAAACGCGATCTCTGGCCAACAGCTGTCCACAAACACAAATCACGGCACAGCCCAAAAAAGGAAGTGTATTTCATCTGTAAGAAACCCATGACACCAGAATCTTTCTCGAGCCTACAGTTCAGACGAAGTGAACCTGTAGCACACGCCAGCATTCTCTGCTCTCAATGTATGGGAAGGCATTCAGATCCCAAGCAGTACGAGTGTCGAACCTTACACGTTAAACACACAAACCACGGCCTACGCCCATGAGAGATAAGCCCTCCATGCCGAACAATCCCCTGTATCTAGTTAGATCACGTTAACTATCCCCGCAGCCCGAGCCCTAGTATTTAAGGACGCCCTACAGCCTTGAGCCTCCCAAGCGTCAACCCTAATCCTTGCAGGAGATCTTATCTTATAGGTCCTGGCTCATCTCCGTACCAATCCGGAGAGTCTGCATCAGCTCTGATCGCAGAGAGCCTATGACCTGACTCATGTGTAGCCGTAGCGAAGTGGGTGTGAAATTCGGGTTTAACAACAGTTTGAGCAGTGGGCACTGCAGCAGGTGCTATCGTACCGAAATCCCCAAGCCCTATACACCAAAACCCCCAAGCCTTAAAGCCTTATAAACTCTCCACGCCACTCCATGACGCAGCTTAAACCAAGGAACTGTCATGTCCAGTCTGCTTACTGGTCCGCCCAGTGGACCTCCAAAGAAGATGCTGTGCAGGTCTTTAGCCTTGCCGGACTTTCAGGCGAGTGGTGGGGAGGGTGAATTTTTGCGCAGATGCCTTCATGGAGCTTAGAGGTGCGTCGACAGTCGCTTCTGCGGACTCCAAACAAGCGGCTGGTGCGAAACAGCGGCCGTAATATACATCTTACATATATATATATATATATATATATATAATTACATACTTTTATATCTATATATATATATATATATATCATAGATACCGAGATAGTTAGAACATACCAGCCTGTTTCGGCATTCAAGGCAAGCTGCCAGGTGCTCGAACTGGAACCAGTCGTTCAGCCTTAGACGTGTGCATATATATATATATAGATGTAGGTGTATATACACACATACACACACACACTCCTCCATATACATCTTGCGAAAGTTATTTATGTGAAAGCACATGCTTGTGCGCGTGCACCGGCTCACTTGCTAATGTCAGCACGACATGCATCATCAGCTATCCTTGCTCTCACAACACCACCAGCACCAGCCACCATCCAGAGTAACCAGGATCCTGTATATTTACCTGCTAATTCTACACACGGATTCACGCGCACAGAAAAACACAGAGAAACGGGCATTAGGAGTACACTTCTGTATATGTACATGAGAGACCATCGTGTATATGTACAGTACGTACCTATATTGGGCAACTACTTCTACGGGAAACATTAAAAGCAACTACGGGCATGCTCAGAAACGTTCGTAGGACACACATAAGGTGTATGCATGTATGTATGTATGTATGTATGTATGTATGTACGGCAAAACAAATGAATACATGAATCAAGAACTCTACACACATATGTATATATATATATATATAATTATATATATATATATATATATATATATATATAATTATAATTATATATATACATCCGCAAATCGAATCACAGAGGCTACTGCACACACCACTCTTTTCACATCGCCAGTGCCGTCCCAGTCTGTAGAACCCGTTACTACGGGAAATGCTTTGGTAAAACATCCGGATGAATGGGGCTAGCAAAACCCGAGTCAACTCCGGGTTGCAAGCCCCACCCCGAACCAACACGGTTCGATATCCCCTCCGAATGCAGTCGAGAACACTCTCGCTGCCCACCCTAAGAGAGAGGATAGCCCCACGGGGGATCGTCTCAGTAAAAGGGAGGGAGGGCGGGCAACAAATCCTGCCTTTTTGGCTCAACTGCCAAGGCTTGAACCAAAAGGCATGATATCGATCGCAGATGATACATGTGCACCCAAGCCTGCCAAACTCTACACATGGTATACATCCGCAAATCGAATCACAGAGGCTACTGCACACACCACTCTTTTCACATCGCCAGTGCCGTCCCAGTCTGTAGAACCCGTTACTACGGGAAATGCTTTGGTAAAACATCCGGATGAATGGGGCTAGCAAAACCCGGGTCAACTCCGGGTTGCAAGCCCCACCCCGAACCAACACGGTTCGATATCCCAATGCACTGATCCCAAAGCACTTCTACAGAAACTGAAACACCAGCATGGCCGGCACCAGAGGCAGAGACCACACCTCGGTAGGAAAAAGAGCGTGGTGGAGGCAGAAGCCGCGAGAAGCAGCCCACGGGTCCGACGCACCCAATCGACTGATCGAGTCGGACCAGTTGGACTTACTGGGTACCCACTCCCAGTATACCCAAACTTGAAGAGAGAAGAGGGCCACATGAATGAGGTGTGCCAGCCGCTCGAGGTCGGGAGAATCGGAACGCCCTCGAATGAGTGCCATAAGCGCGGCTACGTTGTCAATATACCATGTGCCACGACGAGAACGAAAAGTAGAAGCCCGAGCTGTAAGGGCGAAGAGGACCATTGAAAGCTCGAGCTGCGCGATTTTAACCTCCCCCGGGAGGAAGGCATCATATGTATGCCGATCGACCTGTGCCACGAAGGCTTCGCGGCCGGGCTCGCTGCCCGGCCAGAGCAACAGGAAACCGCCTGTGCCCTTGCGCGGTTCGTCCTCCGCGGCATCGCTAGCTGCGACGAATCGGGCACAGGGGGAGGGTAGCACCTCCACGGACCGACGCGGTCGCAGTGCCAAGATGGCTCGGATAACCTCGAATGACGAGCGGATAGCTGGGGTCAACTCCCGAGCTGCCTCGTACTGGCGTTCCTTGAGGGCGCCGATGCCCCCTGTGCCAATCCGGCCATACACCCCCTGTTCGAGAAAATTGAGCATGCCATACAGCTTCGACACCAAGCCTGGGGGCAGGGAGTTATCCTGCTCAGCCTGCAACAAAAGGCCCTCGACCTTGGCTTGGAGCCTGGACCGGACCCAGAACCTAACGACGTGGTGACACCCCACGTCGCGGAAGTCCCACTCCAGCCCGAGAAAGTCGCCGACTGTGCTCATCGGCTGTCGCTTTGCCTCCGCGAAGGGGGAGCCCAAAAGTTTGTTGACCTCGGAGAAGGCGAACTGGGCTGAGCCCTTCGCAGAAGCGGGGTCGGTAAGGTGCGCATCGTCGAAATACATTGAGACCAAGACACAGACGAGCCGGCGGCCCACCGCCTCGGAGAAACGGCTGAGCCGATTGAAGCTGGTCACTGCCAAAGGGAGCCCAAAGAGGAGGCCGGAATATACCGCTGGGCCCAATCCTTATGGTACCATACCACCACGCAGGCCCTGGACTGGTCCTCGTCCATAGGGCAATGGCGATAGGCGTCCGGCCAGTCTTCGCCGCCGCCTTCCCACTGGTCTTCCTCCAGCAGGCGGCGGGCGACCGCCGGGCTGGCGCATCGCATTGCCAAGGAAACATGCTGGGCCGGGCGGAGGGCTGAGCACAACACCAACTTGTTAGAGTCAGAGCTCAACTCGCTCTGACCTCCATGGTCCGCGTTGTCGATCACCCTCTGCTTCCCGGAAGCCTGAGAAATCACGCACCTCGGTATCAAACGAATCGGTTTGCCCTTGGTGTGGCGAAGAAGCTCCGACCAGGACAACGGTGCCGAACAAAACCCCGCTTCGAAGTCCTTGGTAGATTGCTCCAACAAAAAGTCATCGTGTGGGCCTGGCCGAATAGATCCTTGGACAGCTTTGTTGTGGGATTCCACGTTCTCGAAAAGACGATGGAGAGGAATTGTGTCGAAGCCCTGCTGCGGGAAGACTCCGCAGGGGAGAGAGGTACCGACCGCGGGCATGCCGAACAAAAGGTGTGAAGGGAGAGTGGTGTCCGGCCAAGACAACAGAACAACAAAGAGACTGAGCAAGCCCAGGTCCCGCTGGGCCGTGACCTTCCGGACCGCCGGAGTCTGGAGCTTACGCAGGTGGTCCCCCACATGGCTCCAACGGCGCTTCAACTCCCGAAGCGGGCCGACACACTCGCGCCTCAACTCGCGAAGGCGGCCAAGAGACCCGACAGTCATCGCTGCCGCAAAGTGGAGGTCTTGGTCCAAGACCGGAGGGTGTTCTGTAGGCAAGGGGTCGTCCCCCCTAGCCAAAGCCTGCCGGAAGTGCTCATCCGGGGACAGGCCGAAGGGGAGGAGGGGGGGAAGCGCCGCCCTCCCCGAAAGCGCCCCCGCTTGCTGACCCTCCGCTGTGCGCTGCATCAACCTGCAGGCGGGGTCAGAAAGAGAAGGGCCCAACGCGCCATCCCAGCGAAGCCCTTGTTCCCGCAACCACTGGGGGAAAAGAGTGAAAGGAGGACTGTTCACCAGGTCCTCGATGAAAGGAAAGACGAAGCCACGGAAGGCCGAGGAAGGGAACAGGCTGCGGAAAGCCGTGATGACGGACTCCTGCGGGGAGTAGGGAATAACGTGAGCGACAGAGGCTGGTATCTGGGTGAAGGCGGCCCACGCGGCACTCCATGCCGGGGCTGGCATACCCTGCCAGCTGCCTCCACTCCGGCTCGAGGCCAATTGGTACCACACCAGGCCTGCCAGGACATCCCTTTCACACAAGGAGCCCAAGGGGCAATCGCAGACAAGGGTCGCGCCCTGCAAGTCGGGGAGAGAAGTCCAGAAATTGCAAACGATGTGCTCGACAAAGAGATGCATCCACTCGGACGGGGAGCAGTCGTGCCCTGGAGTGTACGGGGAACACCATTTGGTAACTGGCAGCCTGTGTGAATGGTGCCCGCGCCCCACGTACACATGCCCTGGCGGCAAGGACCGGTCGCGTAACTCGACCTCGCCCACGGCTCGCCCAAGCGGGACCAGGCGGTCCATTCCCGGGTCATGTGGGCGTAGGCCCATACAGCCATGGGCTCCACTGCCCAGTCGGCGCGCGATCGGGGCTTAACGTCCACCCAATGCTCGCGCCGACCCACCGGCTCCACCAACGGCCATCGATGGACCCGGAGCTTCGCTCGTCCACACCTAGCAGCCCACCAGCTCAGGGAGACTGCCACGGAAAAGGCGAAGCAGGGCGTGGGAACGGGCGGAGACCCTCGCGACCCCTTTCCCCAGGGGTCACTCCCCTGAGGCGGGTGGCGGTGGTGGCACGAACCGAAGGCCATTGCTGGATCTCGGCCACGTTGTGTCGAAGGAGTCTAGTATGCCTGTGCACGTCGAGAAAGACGCAGGAGTCATACCAGAGATCGAGCCAAACTGCTGAAAGCCTGTTTCTGGAGGAACCCCCTCCTGAACAACGGCAGCTCCCCTGGAGGCACAGCCTTGCAACAGCTGCTCGAAGGAGTCCGGCGAGATAGGCGGAGGCGCGGCCAGCCCCGTCCAAATGCAATCGGCCTCTTCGGTCAAGCGATCGGCCAAGACTCTCCAACCGCAGCACTGAAAAGCCCGGCCCAGAGTGATGTCTTCGCGGTGAAGCATCACCAGGCAAGGGGTCAACTCCCCTACAAAAAGGGGGAGTCCGCGACCCCGGGCTCAGCATCCCCCACTGCTGGGCCAGGGCCCCATCACGAACTCCTCGCTTTCGCCTTGGCCTTGCACTTCGCTGCCCCATGGTTGGGCGCACCACAGACGCGCTCGGCCCGGAGAACCACGGCGCAGCGATGGGCCCCATTCGGGCACGGAGGTGCGTGCTTGCAGGACCCTTTCTGGTAGTCACCGCAAAGCTTGGTGCCATCTTTCATCTCGCGCCGGGGACCCACACCTGATCCTGCCCCGCAAGGTAACGCCCCGGGAGGCGGAGCCACGTCACCACCTGGCGCCACCCTCCTTCTGGAGTCTCGCCGGCCATCACCTTCGGCCGGTGCGTCGGCTGGACGCCGTCGGGAAGCAGGCGCTGGCTCAGGCGATTGTCCGGGGACGACATAGCCGGGAGGTAGGCCATATTTCTTGGTGCGGCAGTCCAGGGCCGCATGCTTCCCGCCGCAGACTCTGTCTGTGGAGAGCTTGGTGGCAGCGCACCTGTGAAGGAAAGGGCAGTCGGATCCCCGCCGACAGTTACCCAAATTGAAGCCGGTGCACAGCCGGCCGCCGTCCTTGAAGTTCTGCGACGTCTTGTGGCGACCGATGTAAGGCGGCATGGGGGAACCAGGTGCGGGCACCTCCGCAGCAGCCGAGCTGGGCCGGGCCGAGCTGCTCGCCACTGCTTTAGGCTCCGCCCTGCGCTTCGACCGCAGCTTCGCCAGAGGTAGCACCGGGCCGGCCAAAGACTTGCGTGCAAGAGGGGCAGCCAACCTCATGGTAAACTTCTTGGGCTTGTGCGCGGCGAAGGCGGGTCCCTGCCACAGGAGCTCCTTGTCAGCCCTGACCTGTGAGTCGCACAGGGACTGGGCCAAAGTCGTGTGCTCCGCGACGTCCTGCGGGGTCACCGCATCCCACGTCGGATAGGGGCGCAACTCCCCCATGTAGGCCCACACCAAATGCTTGACCCGGACGCTCTCCTTGTTGCGCAACCCACTGTAGTGGACGGGCATGGCACTCCTCTGGTCAGAGACTCGATCTTGCCAGTCCCCAAGGGCGTTCGACTCGCCCGGCGAAAGCTGCGCCAGCATAGCCACAGAAGGGCCCAACCGGCGCCAGCTATAGGAGGTCAGCTCCTCCGGATTGGCCACCACATCCGTGAAAGCCGCCTGCACGGCCAGGGTAGACTCCCTGAGGGACCACGAGAAGCCCCGAGCATCGAAGCATAGCCCGCACTGGCTCCGCCGGCCTTTGGGCAGGGCCTCGAAGGCTTCTTTCCAAGGCTCGGTCCAGTTCCATCCAGAAGCGAAGGCGGCCGGAATGGCAAAGTAAAACCCCTGCCGTAGGCGGCGCTGCTTGCCCTTGTTGCAGAAGGCATGCACGGTCGACCCCGTGATGCGCAGGACCGCTTCTGCGAAGGTGGGCATACCGCATGCAGCTGGAGGCCTGCATCCATTGCCCCAGCATCGCAGTCCACCGAGGGTCGCCCATAATACACCGGTCCTCAATAACCTTCTCCAGGTGGACCAGCATCGGCGGTTCGGCCAATGTGGCCTGCCGCTCGTCCCTAGGCTTTCGGCGCTGGTCGGTCCGGGGTGCATCCGGAATCTTCCAGGCGAGCTCCGCTTGCTTGGCAGCCCACCGCAAGCCCGCCACGGCACGATGAGGAGCGGCCGAGTTGAATATAAAGGCGTCCAGGTCCAGGGTGTCCACCTCTTCCAGCCCGTCTCTGCCCCGGGCAACCTGGAAATGCTGAAGCTCGCGGAGGGAAACCACGGCCTTCTTGATCGTGGCCACTTCCGCTTCGCTGCACACTTTGGCAGCACGGCGCCTCACAAAGTTCTCCCACTCAGCTTGGCGTCCCGCGTTGAGCTCACCGCTCGGGCGCTGAACCTTGGCATCTACCCAAAGGTCGGCGAGTTCCTCGACCAATGGTGTCTCCAAGGCAGCGCGCTCCACAGGCGTGCGGGCTTGCAGCGGTGCCTTGGGCACGGCTGCCCGCCGCCGCGGCAAAGGCGGGCGAGGCTTTGTGGAAGGTTTGGCCGCCGCCGCTCCGGCTTGGGCTGCCTCGTGTGCGAAAGCCAGAGCCTTGCCCTCGTCCACTCGCTCGCGGACTTCGCGCCATTTGGCTGCGATTTCTGCTCCAGCTTGCCTCTGTGCCTCTTCCGCCGACATAAAGACGTAGGCGAACTCCTCGTCATCGGCCAGGCCAAAGGCGCGGCGCCAAGCCTCCACTCGGACCTCTACCGGGGTACCCTCCCCGAAGAGTCCGGAAGACGGGCCGGGCTGGCTATCGCCATCTCCTGCCGCCTCAAGCGACTGCTGGGCATACACACCGGCCATCGCAGCTGCTAGCAGAGGCCTGAGCCGAGAAGCCGCCGTGGAAGATGATCGCGAAGGCCGGGCAACGGCAGAAGCAGAGCAGGAGTGCGACTCAAGACCGGGCGGGTCGCCACCGCCGAAGACAGCCCCAGGTCCACTCCTGGTTGCAGCCCTAGTCCTAGGGCATCGGGGGTCGCCACCCCGGTATAAAAATATGCCTGCGGTCTCCGCCGCGGCCGCCGGCTCCTGCCGGTCATAATAAAGGGAACGCCCCTTCCAGAATCGCCCACCATCAGAGGCACCGAATGCAGCGGCCCAGGCAGTCTCCACAAGCCGCTGCGTCACACCGCCGGCAGCGGAAGACCGTTGGCACCCCGCAGCTGTGGCAGGCTGCTGGCAATAGTCCCGGCCCGTAAGCCACGGCCCCAAGCCACAGCCAGATGGTCCTATGCGCCCGTGATCTTTCATCCTCCCGGGCAGCCTCCCAAGAAGGGACCTCGACTCCGGGCTCGATCCACACCCTCCTCCCAGCTTGCCACCGTCGGAAAACGATCCAGAGCTCGGCTGAGCTGGCTGCCCAAGGGTGGGTCTGTTCTGCCACCCGAGAAAAGAGCGCGTAGAGGTGGTTCGGCAGCAGGTCGGTAGGCCAAAGGCCCGAATGAAGGGCCGTGATGTCGCCCGGCGACAAATAGGAGCGGCATGCATGGTAAGCACTCCACGCTTGAGCCGGGTCACTCCCTGGGCAGACAATCGCTGCTGCATGTGTGAATGTACCCACAAAAGGCAGCTGGAACCCTCCACGGCTCTGGGCGCACCGGGCACAGTCCGTGACGACACACGGGACCGTGCGGATAGGTGGCAGACCTGCAGGTAGTCCGTCGAGCAGTGGAGGGGGAGGAGGGTAATGTTGGATCTCGAGGGCTGATGCCCACAGCCTGGCTGCATCCACATTCCGACCCTCGGAAACCAAAAACCGAAGCTGAGCCCTGAGATCCAGCATAGCCGCTGGGTGCAACACCTGGGCCTCGGTATGCACAGCGAAGCGGCTGATAACGTAGGCAAGGACCTGGACCTCAGGTGACTCCTGATCAAAGACATGTGCCATAATAAGCGGGTCGACTCCGCGAGCTAATGGCAACAAATCCTGCCTTTTTGGCTCAACTGCCAAGGCTTGAACCAAAAGGCATGATATCGATCGCAGATGATACATGTGCACCCAAGCCTGCCAAACTCTACACATGGTATATATATATATATACACATCATAAACATATACATACATACATACATATATACATACATACATACATGTGCACAGGCACATAAACTACACGCAAATGCATGTAAACAAAAGGGGTGTGCGCGATGCATCATGCGAAACCACGCTTGCATACATGACCGCAGTGGCGCAGATAGAACCATACACAACCCCGTTTTCGCATCAGAATGTTAGAAAGCCTTTTACACCTGGACGATGCAAAAGCCTGAACCCTAAACCCTTGCCCTTGCATCAGGTTGTGTTCACCCTAAACCCTAAGGCGTCCAGTGGGAAGCCTATGCTTGCTTGCAGGTCACTGCATGGACAGGAGGAGGGGGGACTCCACAAAGCTGGACAGCACGGGCCCGAACATGCATGGGTCGAAACCTCCGGTTCTGCAGGAAGATGCGCGCATGGGGTCGTTCTGTACAAATGTTTCCATAACTGAATTCATGGTTTGGGTCGTGCAGTTACAAAGATTTTTTCTGCTTGGGGCCTAGTTCCAAGGCTGGACGAAAAAGGGTTTTTGTTTTAGAGATGTGCCCAGTGGAGCATCATGGAGCTCTGGCCTACGATGGCTTACGTGTAAAACGTTAGGGATTACGCGTCTGACAGTTCAGGAATTCGTGACCTTACCGTTTAGGTTTATAGAATGTAACTCATGTGCTAGGCTTTTGGATTGGGATGCTTTAGTAAACATTTAGTATAGCTTGTCTGACAAGGGCCTTGGGAGTTTGCAGGGAAGCGGCTGGCCGTCCTCGGAAACGTCGTAGTGGCTCTAGTACTCAATGATGTTGGGGCGCGAGCTTTTCGTGTTTTGCGGCTTTGGTGGTTTCGGGTGGGGATCTACCTATAGAAGTACTCTCCCCCATGGTATTCCTCATTTTGGCCAGACCCTTTCGAGCTTAGGACCCAGCAATGAGGAATCAAGAAGGATGCCGTACAGTCGCATCTACTGATACCATCCAAATAGCTAGAGTGTCGGCACTCCGCACCGCGAAACCGTATGTGTATCCCAAACCCATGCCCACCACCGCTTCGTGACACGATGACTAAACCGAGATATACCGACATCAACTCAAAACGTGATGGTTGAATACTACCCTGCGCCAGAAGGCAAACCGCTCGCTGATCCTAGGACCCCAACTCCTACACCCCTCAGCACCGCTGCACATCATCTCTATCTAAATAATTACCTGCCCGCCCCACCTACAAGTATCTATCTATCCATGAGATATCGCTCCATCCATCCATCCACCCAGCCATCCATCTATCGATCTCTGTATCTCAGCCGTATCAAAGCCCTAGACCCGAACCCGGAAATCACCCAGGCGTAGCTGTGTCGAGCAGCTACTAATGTTTGGAGATCCCGGCCCGATCTCGGCTCCTGTCTTAGTACCCAGAGACTCCAAGATCCCTTGATTAAGGAGTATACCTTAATTAAAACATACTAGGGATCCTGCTATGATTCAAGGTATATTTCCTAATTAAGGGATATTGGAGTCTCTGAGTAGTTTAAGGGGTGGTTTCGGCGCTCACACTCGGACAATCCAGGCGAGGCATATGGTTCGGAGTCTGCAAAGTGAAACAGCACTAGGAGGCTTCGTCACGATGCCTACAGCAACAAATTATCTCAACACATAAAGTAACTGTGCCGATCGACGTAGCCTCGCCCCTAAGGGGTGGTTTACGGTGTAGGTTTCGACTCGCACGCTCGCTCGACGCAGGCACGGGTTCATGAGGTCAGGTTGCGCAGGGCTTTGCATGGGGGTTTACAGCTTAGGGGCTTTAGGGGTTGGGGTTCATTTTTTCCCTCCTACTTGGCAAGGACGAAGCCCGCATTGCAGGGTACTTGGTTGGACAGCGGTTCGGCTTTGGGCTTTGAAGGGGTTCATTGGTTTTGGGGGTTAAGGTTTAGGGCCACGGTTTTAATTGGGTTTTTTTGCGTCCTACCTAGCACGGACAAAACCCACATTGCAGGGCAGGGTTTGGGGGCGTGTGGACCTGTTTTTGTTCGGGTTTTCAGGGCGGTTCAAGTTTACAGGTTCATAGGGTTTGGTGGAAGTTTCCAGGGCCTGGCCTGGGGTTTAGATTGGAGTACAGGAGCTTTAGGGGGCTCAAGCTTTAGGAAGTGGGCTTCTAAATTACGTCGAGGTCGAGGGTTTCAGGGCTTCGCAGGGGCGTAGGGTTTAGGGAATCTTGAAGAAGTGAGGGTCAGCAGCGGATAGGTGCAGTCTGAAGGATCGCATTCAAGCTCTTCGGCACAACCCTCTTCGATTGAGTTTTGATAAGTCGTTGGGGCGAATGTGATGGCTACCCAGAAAAGCCAAGGCCCTTGGGCTCTCAAGCCTCGATGCGTCTGGTTTCTGTTGAAAAGGACTTGCTTGCTTAGTTTTTTGCCTCCTACCGAGCAAGGGGGCGTTTCCAGGGAGGTATGAGAGTTTGGATGGGAGCACCTGAAAGCACCAGCCGAGTCGGCCTAATTACGCACGCTGACTTTGCATGGCTACCACAACTGGCATCAAGTAATCTCTGCGCAATGCATGTGATTCATTGCATCTTTGGCAGGGTCGGAGAACCACTTTCTCACACCGATTGCCAAGGCAACACTGGCATTTGCCGGTGTCATACCCTGAAAAATTGAACCTTCTAAAGCTTCAAAGTCTGTGGGGCATAGGATCCAAAATCCCCCTAAACGCCACGAACTCAAGACCCTGGACCTTGAACCCCCAAGAAGAGGAGCCTTCGACGAATTCGGCGCCCGGATGCCAGCCTCTTTGGCTCCGGCAGTTCTCAACGGACTCGGAGAGACTGGAGCCTCCCCAGAGTTGGCCTAGGGATAGGACGGCGCAGGGACTTTTTCCCTCCTACCTAGCAAGGACGAGGCCCGCATTGCAGGGAGTCCTGGTTGAACTGCTGAAAAAGCCGTGGTTGTCACAGCGAAATATTCGTTCGAGTTGCAAGTTGCTCGTTGACCCACTTCCCAAACAAAGCGTGTCTCCTACTGCTACATCGGCAGTCAGAGCATGAGCAAGTTCATCACGAACCAAGGTATGTCTTTGGCCAGTGTTGCAACAGTCATCTTGACAAGTACTAGGCTTAAGGGTTTCGACTCGCACGCTCGCACAAGGCAGGCATGGCTTCAGGCGCTAAGTTCGCTGAGCTTAAGGGTTTAGGGGTTTAGGGTCTAGGGACGGCTCCAATATCCCTTACATAGGGAATATGCCTTAAATCATTTTGTTTAGGGATCCTTCGATAATTTAAGGCATATTCCGTCATTAATTAAGGAAGATTGGAGTCTGGCAGACGCGGACCCAGGGGTTGTGAAGAGGTTTACGTATCGCGTGCATCGGCCCGTGCATGAAGATGATGGTGATGATGCAAAGCCTTTCCGCAGCTGGAGTCCTTGCTGTGGATTCGAACCAAGACTCTCTCTGCAAATACATGCGCCGAAGAAAGAAGCGAGACCGATTGACGTGTCCGGAACCCTGCCGCATACCGACACACGGCCCTAAGCACTAATCCTGCAACCTAGAGCCTCCAACTCTCAAGACCAAAGCCCTGCTGCTTGAACCCTCAACCCCAAAACCCTTTTCAGCAAAACGCTAAACTAAACCCAAAAAACCCAAAACCACCCCATTGCACTCACCCCAAACCCAACTCGCCCCAAACCCGACTCGATGCAGTTCCGTCGCTCCCCAGGAGCGTGACACGGCGCAGGCGGGACTCCCAAACAATCTCCGCACCTGCTTGCTCTTGCGGGAATATGTAAGGTCCCGCAGTAGTTAGAAGTAAAGGGCAAAGGTATTTTCATGCAGGTGAGCTATATGAAACACTTATCCCAGACACCCGTCTTACAGCCCCTGCCGATGTATGCTGTACTCCGGCTCACAGCTGCCTGAGGGTGGATTTGACACTTCAGTCACTTCAGTTTCATGGCCTCAATTCGAGAACAGAAACTGGTTCTTCCAGAATCGGTGCCTGGGAGATTATTCTGTATCAGAGTTCACTTCACGGCTGTACTGCGCCTAACAGATGAATGGCCCTCGATACATACAGTCGCGGCCACAAGACTGAACAGAAGGGGTGCATTCTCGGCTGTTCTTTGGGGGCCTTTCAAAAAAACAAACGTCGAGCACTAAACCTACATCCGTGAAGCAAAGAGGGCGATCATCCTTCAAAGCAACCCGCATGGAAAGAGGCTCGCACCTGCTGGAGAAGCTGGTGGCACTGACACACCTGAGTTGGGGGTTTAGAGTTTTTTTTGTCACTCGCTCTCGGCAAGCAGGCGAGGTTTCAGCGTTACTAAGCATTCCCTGCAGCTACTGACAAGGCACAATTCTCCCTGCAGAGCCAAGCCCATGGCAGATTCACCATAGACTACCATTAACATAAACTATAGAGCTTTAGCCTGCAGGGTGTGGGGAGTCTGGGGCCGAGGATTTGGGTTTCGGGGTGAATCACTGCCCGGCAGCTTGCAATGAACATCGAACTGAGATGTTGTGTTATGCAGAGGTCGGTTTCAGACGAGAGGCAACAGACAGGTCATCCCCGATGCTCGAACCGAGTATATCCACAACTTGCGCCGACAACAGCATCGGTTCATTTGCTAATTACCGCGGTCCCTGCACTGTGAATTTCCAAAACTCGTCTTTCTGCTTCATTCCGTCGACCAACGTGCGCCACACATGCACGCATGACAACGCACAAACGCTTGCACACATGTGCGTGCAGATATATCTCATAAATATAAACAAACAAACAAACAAGCAAATAAACAATACATATCATCATACATAAGTATGTATATATGTGTATACATATATATATATATATATAGATACATATAGACCGAGAGAGATATTTTTCTCTCTCTCTCTCTCTCTCCCGGGCATAGGGGTCGGTTAGGACCCCCGGGCTTCAAGCCCACCCGCGTGATTTTTTTCTCCCTCTCTCTCTCTCTCTCTCTTTCTCTCTCTTCGGCTTCGGCTTCGGCTGCGAGGGAGAGGTCCGTGTTCACGGACCCGGGCCAAGGCCCCCCTCTCCCCACTACGACGGTGGAAGAAAGGGCTTTGGGGTCATTGGAAGGCGATTGCTTTCAGCAGTCGGCTCGAGTGGTAGAGTGCGTCCGTCAGTCAAACCGAACCCTTTACACTATCGCGCATCCCGGCCTCGTCTCCGCGCCCTCTAAGGCAAGTCCTTAGACCCACGACGGACGCATTCCCCCCACAGCAGCCAACGGAATGGAGTCGTCCCACAGTAGCAAAAGCAACTAAGGACCGAGCCGAAGTAAGAACATAACACACAGTTGGGTGGACGATCCACAGGTTGGCACTAGTGACTGCTGTTGAGCGATCGGATCCCCCGCCTTGGTTGGTAAACAACAAGGAAGAACACAAACCGTGCAGGTAACGAAGACGGCGGGTTCACCTTCTAGGGAGGCTTCGTAATAGGCGGTAGCAGTCGGGAAATTGGGTCCCCTTGTTAGGATCCCCCACGGCACGTGAGACTCGAAACACTTACACAAGAGGGTTTTAGTTAGCCCTTCGGGTCCCCCGCCCAATCAGTAGAAAGCAACAGCGAGAAACAGGCAAACGTGCAGGTCACGAAGACGGCGGGTTCCCCCCCATGTTGTAAAGAAAAGCCGGTTGAATTATTTCTTCTAGTATGGACACGGTCGGCGAAAGCATTGAATTAAGGTGGCGGTCGGTAACAAAAGTCGCAGGATGGCGACTGGTGCAGTTGAATTGGGCTTTCGGTCGCTACTTCGAGCTGTGGCAGAGAAGGGAAAACCATTCGGTGGCTACTTCGAGCTACCCTCAAGAAGGTATGCATCCCCCCGGCAAGGGTTCAAAGGAGAATCTCGGAAACTAGGGAAGGCACATGGTAGCAGCAACAGAGAAAAGGATGCCCCCTCCTAGTTCCCGTCCCCCGCACATTGTACTTTGTACAAGTCGCGCTCACGGCTCTCACGTTGGTTGCGCATGTGTTCCTGCACATGCTGTACCTGCCATCTCATGCTCGGCTGAAGTCGTACTCGTTGTGGGCTGTTGCTCGGGCTGCGCGGCTTTCTCCCCCTTGGGCTGCGGCTTGGAGTGCGTGGGCGCTCCTCACCCAGCTTTCTTCTCCGCGGGCTTTTGCTTGGAGTGCGCGGTCTCTCTTTTCCCAAGCTGCGTCCCCCTCCGTGTGCGTCGTCTTCAGCGGCGGCTGTTCCAGCGTCTCCCCCTCCTTGCTCGTGTCGGTCTTTGGCTGGCGCTGTCTCAAGGCTTCCTCTGTCCTTGGCGGTCTTGTCTTCGTCTGGCTCTCCCCCGCCTTGGCTGTGCGGCTCTGTGCCGGTGGTCGCTGAGTCCGTGCTCCCCCAGTCAACTTCATCTTCGTCACACCTTTCTCTCAAGTCGGCTGTGGCTTCCTCCCCGCGGCTTGTTGGTGGTGGCCTCGAGGTAGTCGCCCCCGCTGCTTTGCGCCGCCTCCGGAGCTTCTTCCGGAATTGGCGCGCCTTTTTGAGTAGTGGGCCGGCTTTCTGCGGAAAGCGGACAATATGTGCTCGCGTCTCGTTGGCAAGCTTGGGCATGTATTTGTCCACGATCCTGGTTAGCTTGTCCACCGTTCTGGCTATTTTGCACCTCTCCTCAAAGCGTTCACGGTATTTGGCATACTCCCCCGCCTCGAGGTTGTTCAAGGGCTTGCCTGTCACGAGGTCCATCCATTTGTCGCCCTCCTTGGAGATCTCTCTCTTCCCCCATTGTCGAGTGGCCCAGGCAGGAAGTGTAGGCGTATTCCCCTCCTTGTCGTGAACCTGGTCATGTGCGTAAAGGGAACCTGTGGGGTTCTCCCGTCCCCCGCCTCTCTCTATCTCTCTCTCTCTCTCTCTCTCTCTCTTCGCTTCGCTTCGCTTCGCTTCACGAGGGTTAATTAGGTCCGAAGACCCGGGCCAAGGCCCCCCTCTCCCTTACACGTTGGTGGGAGAGTGGCATTGGGGTCAAATGCACGGGGCTGTTCCCCTCGGTTGGCTTGCGCGGTAGAGTGCGTCTTGCGAAAATCCACTTTAGCCCGCGTCCCGGCCTCATCCCCGCGCCCACTATGGCAAAATCCTTAGTACCTTCGCCAGACGCCTCCCCCATGCAATGCCCAACGGTTGGTAGCAAGTCTCCCCCTTCTGCAGTACAAGCAACAACTGAGGACAGGGCGTAACACGACTTCGTGGAACAACAGGAAAAGGCGAGTTTGTGGGGTTGCCATGGCTACTCGGTGAGGGTTCGCCAGCTGAAATTTGAAGTACTGTCCAAAGCAGCGAAAAGGTAACACCACTGTATGGAGCAAGGCGTGGCTGGTTCCCCCTCGTCCAATCATATGAAAAGGCCGGTCGAATTATGTCTTCTAGTTTGGAAACAGTCGGCGAAAGCATTGAATTACTGTGGCGGTTGGTAATAAGCGTCGCAGGCTGGCGACGAGTGCAAATGAATTGGGCTTTCGGTGGCTACTTCGAGCTTCTGCAGAATGAAAGGACAACTCTCTCTCTCTCTCTCTCTCTCTCTCTCTCTCTCTCTCTCTCGCTCTGCCGTTGCATCCAGAGGGTCTAGCAGCGCCAAGCAACGCGTGAGGTTAAAGCCCTTGAGGCCCCTCACAAACAGAAAGCCGCCCCTCAAGCAGCAAGCAATGTCTATCACGTTATTAAAACGTTGTGATCTATATATTAGCATGGTATAGTTTTGTGTTATCAACGGATAGAACGTAGAGATTAAACACACCCGTACATATGTAAGTGTATATATATATATATATATGTATATCTATTTATTTATTTATTTATTTATATACACAAAGATATGAGTAGATAGCTAGGTAGATACATAGTAGATAGGTACGTAGTGATGAGACGCGGTAGCGAGATAGCTGGATATGCCGGCAAATAAATAAAACAGACACATGTACCTGCGCACGTGGCACCCGAACCTGGTGCACAGAAAAAACAAGCAAACACACACAAAACAAAGAACACACGCACTCACAAACAACCAGCCAAACAAACAAACAAGCGCACATGCATACGGGTGAGCAAAGAGAGAACCTTCAATGTGGGCGCATGTCTGTACAGGTGCATGCAACAGACCACACAGGCATGTAGAGGAAAGCATGTGCAATGCCAACTTCTCGAAGCAGCCGGCCCCTGGCCATCAACTGCTACTCCACCCGCTTTCCTTGGCATTTCTATATCAACCTGGCCAGGCCGCTGTCCACCCACCAGGCAGCATCTCCCAATCCCGCGCAGGCCGCTTTGGGCACAGAGGCACGGACAAGGCGGCACAAGCCGTCCAAGTTGTAAACCATGCCTCGTGTCGCTTGTGGAAGGAGAAGAGAGGAGTCATTTCATATATATGACTCCGCGACAGGTTGTGGTGAGTCGTCAAAACCTGATATTGTATGACTGGCAATACTGGCAAGAATACTCGTCGGTGCCAGTGAAAACCCGGCATTGCATACTTCTTGACCAGTTCTTGTCATGGATGTCGCGTGCTTAGTGCCAGTGTCAGGCAACGTCAATCACCCTCTGCATGCAGCAGGCAGCAGCAACAGCATCGTCAGCATCAGCTTGGGCATCCGTACCACATACACTACCACAGCAGCAGGGCCCGATCTCCAGACATCAAGGGTGGCTTGTCATGGTGCGGCTCACCAACCTGGTTTTGGTCTGGGGGGGTGTCCAAGAAATTCGGAGGCAGAGATACGTTGACCAATGCAGCCTGACATCTCTTGAACATCCGTTATCCTACCCACCGACTCCCACCACTCAGTACTCATCGCTCCTGAAATCCCCTCAACCTTGCATGTGAACACCCTGACATTTGACCTCTGTGAGGCCTACCCGGATTACCTTCTCGGGTTTTTCGGCGAGACCCTACGCTCTCCAACCTCGACCACCGGCACTGCAGCCGCTGAAGAGCACCAGTGCAGCGTTCTGTTGGCTTCCAGCAGGGCTCAAGGTTTTTTTTGACTCTCACAGGGCTTAATGTTTGGAGGTCGGGGTTCAGGGCTCAAAGCTTCGGGGTTGTGATGGTTTGCATGGTTTCGTTTTGAAAAGAAATGGCTGTGAAGGGGGCATAGTGAGATGAGCTCATGCTAGCACAACCCAATAACCCCGAACCCTATTCCGCTTTACGGTGCTGTGTTATGTTATACTTGATACAATATAGCATTTTATGCTGGTACATCGCAGTCATAGCATCATATTATCAGTGCAAGACCTACATCCCAGTTTAAACAACTGAAAGTGGAAGCCCCATTGGGCTGCTGCTTCAAAGTTTGGCCGCTTGAACTTGTGCCGCTCTTCTGGATATCGCTACAGTACCTTGCTCTAGACCTATTGCAGGACGCTTGTTTCTTAAACGCTGGTTGCCGGATTTATGCCTCTGACTGGTTGCTATGGTAGCAGTATTCGGGATTACTATCGATCAGTCCTTCATGCCGTGCTGCTCCAGCAGGGTGGAGACGGCAGTCGCCAAGATGTGGGCGCCCTGCTCTTGGAGCTACATCAATGCCACAAGAGTTCAACCAAACTCTGCGTGCCGGTCTTGGTTTGGTAGTCCTTGGAGTAAGGATCCCACCATGCTGTTCTCTCTTGGCTGGAGCTGCTCAATGTCACAATCGTTGTGTGCTGAGGCCATCATTCTGTGTGTGGATGAAGGTATGTACCTATGCATGTATATATGCAAAAACCAAATATATGATATACATATATATATATGTATGTATGTATGTATATAGGGCTCATACTGCCAAAAGGTCATGCCCAAAGGTTCCTTACTCGGCTGGGAGCAGACATTCCTTCACATCAGCTAAGCCGTGCCGCACGGCTACCCCAGATTGCAGAAACTGATCAACTTGTCATCCCAAGTTTCAGGATGCAATGCCCACTTGGCTACAGGCTCCTGAACCTGTAAGGGTTTTAGGGTTTTGCGGCGACAAAAGCTCCGACCCTTCTGCTCCAGCCCAGCCGTCAATATGCCAGTCCCGGTTTCAAAATGCTCTTGTGATTTAGGGTGAGGTTTCTGCAGGCTTAGGGTCCACCGGGCTGTAGGGCTTGGCACCTAGAGCCACCAGCTTCAGTCTAGGAGTGTACTCTGTTACTGGCTGTTCATTCTTAGTCTTAGTGAGGCAGCACCGCAGATGCTTGTCACGAGACTTTAGACTATCCAGAAGCTTACGACTTTCGTTCACGGCGACTAAAGCATGGGCCGATCTGCTTTGGGCTCACAGTTTCGTAAAGGGCACACCCCGAATTTCAGATTGAAATTCTCCAGCAAATACCGTTTGGCCCAAACCCTGGAACCATCCTAGAATCCTGATAGGCCCTGCACATCCCTGCGCCCTAAATCCTCAAACCTCACAAACAGGTGCTTCCATAGTTGGAACAGGATTTTGGGGCATCTTACAGTATATAAAAACAGTGAAGAACCCAAAGACATGGCTTTGGTAATTGTTCATGTGCTACACCCACCAGCCTCAAAGTACCAGGTATGACCGCGCCATGTTCGCGAAGTATTGCCCATCCACGAGTCCGAACTGCAGTACCTCAGGAGAGAGCTTTCCTGCCTTATATGCCCTACAAGGGTTCAGGGTTCTTGCCACCCTTCCAGCGTTTCGGGTGCAGGGCTATAGCTTCATGTGTAAACTAGAGATATGCTTTATGTGTTTGGAGTTGGGAAAGACCATACGATTCGTGCTTTGTCAACTTGGGCGTCCTCTGCCACGGCCCTTTCAATGGGTCTCGGTACAGCTAAAATCTCCCTGTGGCCTGTCAAATCGGGGCAGCTTAAAGGTTCAGAGACTTCGGGTATTTGGGCCTTTAATTCTTAAAGGTTCCTTAATGGGTTCCTTTAAAGGGTAGCATTTTTCAACATCCCGCCAAAACGCCCCTTCTGTGTGAGTGTTGGGGTTGCCTCTTAGGCTATTTTGGGTTTGAGGAGAAGCAGAATAGGAAAAGCTGGTTCTGGGGCATCCCATGCACAGACATGCATATAAGTATAGGAACACAAATAAGTACATACATGTATATATGTATATAATATACTATATACATATACACATACACACACACACACACATATATATATACACACACACACACACAAAAACTTTGCCCACACCTCTGCACTCATGCTCATGCTTTTGGGCCGGCAACAGTTCTGGCCGTAGAGGATAGAAAATTTCAAAGGCACCGACAGCCTGTCGCCTCAAGCTATTTGCAAGCCTCTCCCAAACCTATAGAGCCTAACCCCCCTTAATCATAAAACCAAAACCGTCAAGTGTCAAGTTCGAGCATGTGCGGAAGTGCACGAGGCCCTTAACAATTTCAACCTGGAACCAGTGAACCTGCAATCCTAAGGACAGCTGGCGAGATGCCCGATGTAGGCATGAGCAGCTGTGGCGAGGAAGGGAGTCGCCCCCAGACCTCGTGCGAAAATTCCGCCCTTCCAGATCTGTCTGCTGCGCTTTTGCATGGACTCCAGGAAATCGCTGTGGGCCTTGGGGGAGTTTGGCGGCTCGAAACCATCTTCTCCCCGGAGATTTCTCAAGCCCAGTCTTCAAGACTCTTTACTACCGATCTTTGCATTCTAAGCATGCATTAGATGTTGTCTGGCACCTGTCTTAATCTGCACTTGCTGTCCGTGTCGCGAGGTTTGTCGTGGCTTGGGGGGGTGGAGGCTTCAAGGATCTTCAAGGTATACCTTCTCTGCACCAGTCAGTTCAGTCTGCAAGCGCGCGTCGGGCCTAGACATCTGATGCCGAATCCCCTCCCCCGGTACTACCGGTACTTCGCTGTAGGTTCCATAGGCTCCTAAACGGAGTTGGGGCGGCAAGATGAGTGATGTGGAACTTCAGGGGGTCTCAGGGACCCGCAGTCTATCTTCAAGACGGGCTTTAACCATGGCTTGTTTCGGAAGATCGAATCAACTGGCCGCTGCGGAATGCGCCGGCAAAACGTCTGGGCGTTTTGACTTTTACCGCAGGTGCTTTACCAGGCATCGGGCTTAAGATCTATGTGCAGAGTTTAGGGTTATGGCTTTCCTAAACATTGAAACGCAAATTCTAAACCCAAAACCCTCAAGGCTGCAAACACATTGTTTCATCTTAACAGTAGCATTCCAAAAAAAACGCTACATGCCCAAAACCTTAAGCAACTATCTAACGAAGAGGCCTTGTTAAATAGAATAGGGCTTCGGGGATAGTCTAAGAAGAGTATAAACAGATTGAGGAACCCTAAGAGAAAGTATGTGTATATTGAGGCCCCCACAGCTTTGGCTTCCGCATCGGCAGGCCCTAAATTGAACTCGAAGTCTTCCTTCATGATGGCCCGTTTTAGTAGTAGTAACAGAAATAATTATAGCAGTAGTAGTAAAAAATAATCGCAATAACAATTTTTTGTAGTTGTAATAGTAACATGAATAATCGTAATCGCTGCTCGCACATTGGCCGGAGAGCTGGTGACTCGCAGCTTTCCTGGTCGTAGCAGTAGCCGCCGCCCTCCAAATGAACATGCCACACGGTTTTTCCAACGTAGCTCTTCCTCAGCTATGCTGTAGTTCCGACAGGATTTAACGTGCCAAAACTTCGGTAAGAATTCAAAAGCTTCGCAAGGCAAGCTTCACGGGCACCGGGCTCAAATACATGGCACCAGGGCTGCCGTCGTTGCAGCGAGTGCCGGGTAGAAGGATCATCTTCAATGCAGTTGCCATGGCGGCAGCACGAGGACCCGAAGGCGGCGACTCTAATTGACGGTACCCTGCAAGGCTTGTGGGCTGAGGTACTGATGTTGCTATTCAAAGCCGCAGCAAAAAGCTACGAATTACTCGTTAAAGTAGCCTCCGAATTCTAGTCCTATGATTAACCTACTCTTTGCTGGGGGTACGGGGACGTGTGAATCAAGCCCAAGGGAACACAAAGGCAAGCTTTTTTGTCCAACACACAGGCAGCGACTCTAATTGGCAATACCCTGCAAGAGTATGTAGCGGGCTGTGGTATTGCGGCTGTTCAAGGCCCAGGGTGGGGGCATGTTGACCAAGCCTGAAGGGGAAAGCTGCAAACCAGTTCAAACAAGTGTCCCTTGAGCATAGTGGCATCAAAGTCTGGAGCTTGCAGTTGCTTTCCCATGCTTCCATGATAGCAGCATTACGCTGCCATATTTCGAAATAACTGCGCGTGCTGATATATGGTCAGGCGTCTGGCGTTCCCAGCCCCCCCCCCCCCCCCCAATGGTATGGTCTGATAGGGGTGGGGGGGGGGGGGGCTGGCGTGTGCGGAAAGGGGTTGGGGGCCGTTGGAGCTGCCACCGGATGGTGGGGTGGTGCTGGCGGCCAGGGCTCACGCGCAAGCCCTTCGCAAGCAAGCCGTAAACCCTATAACGCAGCGCATGCCCCTGTTTTGAGCAACCTTAACTTGTACTTAAAACGCTACACCCAACCCTAAACCCCACCTAACTGCAGGCTCTAAGCCTAAAGCAGAGCATACACCGCAAATCCTCCCTAAGCCCTTGTCGACTCGAAGCCTTATACCTTGTAACCGTAAACCCAAAACTCAAAAGCTTAAGCTAAACCCTAAACCCCAAAACCCCACAACCACCCCACTGGGGGAAGAGGAACCCCACACCCCACACCACAGGGGAGGGGGGGGGCGCCACCCTATATCCGGACCATTGACCTTTGGGGGGGGAGGGGGGGGGGGGCCGCGGAGCGCGTGACCATATATGCTCCAATTCCCATAGTTTAGGGTTCTTAGGGTACTTAGGGTAATGCAGGATGTATAGTATCAACAGAAGGACCTTTGCCTCGGCTTTTGCATCCAGTCGAAATCCGAGGCTCTTATTCACCCGAATGGGCTTAGAGTTTGTCCACCTCCAAATTAGACTCCTCAGCTCTACCACCAGAGCCGGAAGGAGATCAAGTTGAATTCAACTCATCCTTTGAAGCTCCGAACTGATATTAAGCTTCGCACGGTTGATGATATAAGTCCTGCACTACCCGTGACAAGGAACATGCCATAATTCCCACAGTCGAGGGTCCTGAAGGTAATGCGGGATTTAGATCATCAACATTAGTTTCGCGCATTATGCGATGTTTCTGTCTTCACGGGGCTTTGGTTTGGTGTGTGTCGACGCAAAGCCTGTGTAGGGGTCTCGGACCAACTTCTGGTGGCTTTTGACGGTTGAGGATTGGGGTCCTGGGTGTTACAGTAGAAGCCAAAAAGTTGGAAACCTAATAGCCCCAATCCTCAAGAGTAATGTATAGGGAATCCCAGCACTATTTGCCCTTAATCCGGTTTCCAAGTTTATGGGGTTTACTGTAGTATTTTCGGGATTTGGTGTTGAGGCTATAGAGCTAGCGGATCTGCCTGGCTTGGCTGAGGCAGGAGCATGCAGCTTTGAGCTGGAAGCCAGCCTGGCAGAGGGGGCTCTGCGCGGGTCTACTGGATTCTAGTTCTAGGTACGTGCAACACTTCCTCTTACCCGTCTTACCCGCAGCACCCGCATTTAGTTCATGGTAGCAGGGTTGGTTGCTGTGGTCAGTGATGTTGCCGCTGCTATAATTCTCCAGTGCTCACGTCCACTACGATTTTGCGGCTCCTGGGTGCATCAGTAAAGTCCTTCGACGAAGCCAGCATAGCGTCAAGGCGGCAAAACAATGGCGTGACACACCGCACATCCTTGCATGCATTGGCCGATTTAGACCCTGAACCCCTGACACCGAACCCCACTCAAGCTTCTAGCGAGGACTGAGGGCACGGCGGAGCCCCGATCCATCACGGTGCGGCACAGGTATCAGCATACCCTGACAAAGGAGGCGAAATGAGGTGTGACATCTGCTGTCTCATCCCACCCCCCAACTTTACGACGCAGACATTGCCAAAGATACGATGCGGAAAACATAGCTAGAAGGAAGCAACGGAAGGCAATGTCTTGCTCATGACCCCGAAATACACAGTTCAAAGGAAGTTCGGGTGGCAGACCGGCGAGCATGAGTATGCCCATGTCCAGGTGCCTTCTGGATCTCTGCCTTTATGCTCTCTTTCTTGCCCATGTCCATCAGAGCGGTGAACAAGCCTCGCTGGTTTCTGCTACTTCTGAGTCAGAGACAGGAGTAAGCTGCTGCTGCTGCTGCCACTCCACATCTGCTTTACTCATACTCCTACTCCTACTCCACTCCTACTCCTCCTCCTCCTCCTACTCTTGCTCTCCCACTCCCACTCCTACTCTTACGTCTACTCCTACTGCTGCTCTCCTGTAACGACTCCCACTACTACTGCTACTACTACTACTCCTCCTGCTGCTACTTCTGCTACTGATACTGCTTCTACTCCTTCTAATACGAATACTAATACTAATACTAATGCTACTACTAATACTAATACTAATACTAATACTTATACTAATACTAATACTAATACGAATACTAATACTAATACTAATACTAATACTAAAACTAATACTCATACTCATACTCATGCTCATGCTCATGCTCATGCTCATGCTCATGCTAATACTGATACTGATACTGATACTAATACTAATACTAATACTAATACTAATACTAATACAAATACAAATACTAATACTAATACTACTACTACTACTACTACTACTACTACTACTACTACTACTACTACTACTACTACTGCTGCTACTACTACTGCTGCTGCTACTTTTAGCCCCGACAGTAGTAGTAACAGTAGCAGCCGGCGGTACTGGCAGAAGCTGTAACACTCATTTAAAGGTAGCGCTCGCATCACTGTCGTCATGATCGCACATCTCAGTGCTGCCTCTGCTTCTTCTGAGACCCCGGGCCAGAAACCATCGGAGACTGAGTCAGAGAGCCTGTCACAGCGCACGGGGACAACTCGAACCGGTTAGAAAACGTTTATGGGACTGACCATGGCAAGGTAATGTTGAACTCTTCAAGACCTGGTGCTTGCGACTCTCGCATGTCGGACACTCGACGAGGCGCATTGCGGCTTCAGGTGTTAGGGTTAGAGGTGTAGGATCGACGATTTGTGGAGCTGCGCTGCTGTGATGAAGAAGTCTGGAATCACGAGGATGACACATGGCCATCAATGTTGTGTCAACCAGCCATCACGGAAAAGATCGACAAAGCCAGTCTGCACACTGGACGCAGAGGCGAAGGACAAGCAGCAGGGAGGACGTATGCAGGTGGGCGGCAAGAAGAAGCAAGACAACAGCAGCCTCACACAAGATCCGAAACCTCAAAGCCAAGGCTAAGGGACGAAACCTAAAAGCTTTGGCTGAAATCACCCATTCAGCATGACATCGCACGCGAGTGAGGAACCACCAGTGCGAAGTCCTCCACTGGCACTCAGTCATCAAACTCCGGGCCGGCAAGCCCTAATGTAGGAGCCTTAACCATTAGAATCGGATTCTGCATCATGTTCTAGTATCTCTACAACAAGGAAACCTAGAAAATACTGTTGGGAATTATTCAAGCTTCTATAGTATGACTACCCAGCATCATCCCTGGCAGTTCTCCAAGCCCCCCCGGGCTCTCCTGCATCGCGCATTTGGAGCGTCTGCAAAGCAGACAAGCAGTCCTGAGCCGACCTTGCATTGATATTTGGGAAAAGTGAGGGTTACTTCATGGGATGGAATAAGGCTTGGGTTGCAGGGATCTCTAGGGATACTGTAAGGCTTCGGCCCTAAAGCCCTTCGCATCTTAACATCTCAGGCTTCCGATGCGAATCAGGAAAAACTTAAAACGTTTCGGAACTCAACCGCCTCAAACTCTTCCCGGCCCAGCGCCGTAGGGCCAAGACATGATGCTCAAGACCTACCCCCACCATACAGCAACCGTCTATCCGAGAAATCGCCTTGGGACAGAATCACCCACAAGGGCACCGGGATAATTAGTTCATAATATAAGAGTGATTAACACAATATAACAAAATTGTAGTATATATCTATGAACTGCATATATATATATATACATGGTCACGCCCCCCCCCCATGATCCATACCATGTTTTTTTCTACCTCCTCCTGCTCATGCTTCGATTTCTACATGACTTCACCTACATACAAAATCATCGGTATTTGCGGTATTTTCTGCACCTAGCATCTACTTAGCTCTACATGTTGTAATTTGTTCTCACATGTTATATCCCCACGAAAACCGAAACGGATTCTGATTTCACTTTCGGGTCCGCTCTTCCATCCAAAACCTCGCACTCCATGTTTCAGAAGGTATCACCGGTGGTTGTGCAAAAACTTCAACATGTTGCCTGTCACTGTCGCCATGTTTTGGTGCCGATGCCAATACTCAAACTGGCAGCTTCGAATCTTCCTGGTCATTGCCTGATTGCCTGGAAAGCGTGACACATACTTCAAGTGTGTTCATAATATTATAGTACTAACGCTAATACTACTACTAATACTTATCACAATATTTATACTAACATCAATATTTGCAATAGTATTGATACTCCTACGAGTACGACTACATAAACTCTTGTGGTGTTAACAATAATGCTATCACCAACACTGATACGGATATTGATAATCTGTTGAATATTCATGAATGCCAGTACTATTCCCAGCATGAACACTTATATTATGGCTAATACGACTATGAATAGTCTTAATTCTAATATCAACATTAAAACTCCTACGAATACCAATAGTATATTCGTATTGATATGAATGCTAATCTTTTTACTAATAGACACCTGCATATACTAATGTACATAAAAATACATACCACTACCTTAAGATACAGATATATACACTAGTGCATTCATGTACTAATGTTTTGGCATAAACATATACCCATATACCAATGTAATAATATACTTCTCGTTAATGTATGAATATACTAGACTAATATGCGAGTATACTAATATACGACTACTGCAACATGCAAGTATACCGACATGACAAATTAGTAGGCTAATATGCCAACATACTGATATACTTGTAAATATGACTAGACAATACATGAATATAGCACACATACTAGTAAACTAATACACCAATATACTAGTGTACCCGTGCACCAGTTGTGCCAACATATCAAATATACAAGTATACAAGTATACAAGTATACAAATATGTTACTGTTCGAATGCATTAATAATATATTGATATACTAGTCTGCTACTGTACGAAACTACCAATATACTAACATATCAAAACTAGTTCTAGTATTGATACTAATACTAGCACTTCTGCGAATATAAGCTGCGGTTAAACCCAACATTAAGACTGACACTGATACTAGCAGTGGTGCTGTATTACTGACATTGACACTGGCACTAGCGCTAACTCTAAAACGAGCATGAGCACTGACACTAATTTATGTTTACTAATACTGACATGTATACTATCACAGCAAACACTAGTACTAATATTATTAAGAACAGTACTCATCCTAATATCGATACTTCCACAAAACTATCACGTAACTCATGTGCCGCGCGTCTGGTGCATGCGTCCTCAGTACATGGCATGTCAAAGTATATGTTGTATATCTACTGCAAATGTTTTACTTTACAGATTGTCGTCGGGTGTGGTGTGCTTTGATACAATATCTCAAAGAATTGGTGGCATCGAGAGCATCTTGCAAGGATATGTCACCCCCGTCGCGGATCATGCTGGAAAAGAGGAAAAGAGGGACACAAACGATGACTTTCACTCGGGAGAGAACTGCAACGGATATGTCGTGGAACATACCGCACCTTGACATGGCATTAAAACAAAGCATATGCCGTGTGTATACACGTGACAAACAAAGACATAATAGGAACACAGCATCCAAGGTTAGCAAATGCCGCCTGGCTCGAAAATCACCAAAATTTGTAAAGCCTTAAATTCGAAAACATCGGCAGGGATCAAAAATCACCAAAATTCCCAAAATCGTGGCATCTATGGGGCCATGGGTGTTTAGTTTTGCAAAACTTTGGGGATTTTCGAGCCTGGCAATGTTTTAGCATCCGACGTTGACGAAATGCCGCCAGGCTCGAAAATCCCCAAAATTTGTAAAGCCTGAAATGCGAAAACACTGGCAGGGATCAAAAATCCCCAAAATTCCCAAAATCCTGGCAACTATGCGGAGTGCGGGGCCATAGTCTCTCACATTTTGGGGATTTTGGGGATTTTTGATCCCTGCCAGTGTTTTCGCACTTCAGGCTTCAGGAATTTTGGGGATTTTCGAGCCTGGCAGTGTTTTAGCATCCGACGTTGACGAAATGCCGCCAGGCTCGAAAATCCCCAAAATTTGTAAAGCCTGAAATGCGAAAACACTGGCAGGGATCAAAAATCCCCAAAATTCCCAAAATCCTGGCAACTATGCGGAGTGCGGGGCCATAGTCTCTCACATTTTGGGGATTTTGGGGATTTTTGATCCCTGCCAGTGTTTTCGCACTTCAGGCTTCAGGAATTTTGGGGATTTTCGAGCCTGGCAGTGTTTCAGCATCCGAAGCTGCCCACCTCCCATGATCCACTGCTTACCAAAAGCAAGCATAGTATGGATCATGGGGGGGGCGTAAGCATATATATATATATATATATATTTATTATGTATGTATGTATACACACACACATATATATATATACACACATAATATATCAATACCCAGCTGAAACTTCTGGGGCTCAATGGCTCGGGACCAGGCAGGGAGTCGGATACACCGAGTGAGTCCACGAAGAAGTCCCGGAGGCCGTGGTACCTCAAGGAGTCGCGTGGCCTCCTCATACCCGCGGGCGCGTATGCACCAGGAAATGCAAACTCTTCCTTCTCATATGTCGAAACTCCGACATGTCGCCTCGTATGAGATCCTACGATCACGAGCCCATGCGCGATCGGAATGAACCTGGAAGTGTCTCTGAAGGGGAACTTCTCACGGCCAGCTGAGCAAACATAGCCAAAGGCACAGCGGCTGCAAGTTTACCCGCCCCAGCAGCTCACCCATGCCTCAGTTCTGGCTCGGGATGGTCGGTTGCCGTCGTAGCAAAGGTGAGGAAAGTAGACAGGTATAGTCGTTATAATGTATAGACATACACATTCATTTGCATATTTATTATGAAAACTGAAAATATGCATGCATGTATGTACACACGTATGTGTGCATCTGCATGTGATATGTAGGTATGCACAGGTATGCATGCATGCTGGCAGGCGGGTCATACATCCCTCCATCCATGCTCACATATCTCTCTGTGTGTACGAACAACAATACATTTGTACTCGCAGGGCCTGTTTGTTTTTGACATACACATGCATTCGAACAGTGCTCAAAAACATGATAGTTCTTGCCACTCACACAAGGGGAGGCTTGGAACGACGTCCTGACAAGGGAGAGCTGCAACAAGGCAAGTCCTGTGGACTGACAGAAACACCACAGCCAAGGATGCAAGCATAAGACTTCGGTTTAATGCCAGCAGTTGCCTCACAGGACCGACAGCGCGGACCCCGTACCAGAGTCGGTCTGCGGACAGCAGGCATGAAAAGCATATCAGCAGTGAAGTCACCACAAGCAGATTCAGGGCAATTTGGCTCCCATGGACACAGACTCACCTGACGGCGCGCATAAGAAATGACTGGCAAAAGCTACCAGGCAGCACAGTCGTGCACACCCGTAGAAGCAATAGCAGTTCAATAGCATGCACACACACACACAGAGTATACTAGCGTGTGTAGATACATACATTTTATACATCTGTGTCTTTGTACATACAGAGAGGGGTCAATTAGATATTGAATTCCTTCCAGCAGCCATACAAACAATACACGCAGTCAGGTGCAGGCGCGGTGAATCACAAGCTGTACGTGAACCGCTGAATGATCTGCACGACAAGATGCGCGTATATGATGTGATATGTATGTCAGAGTCAAAAGAGTACACACAATGGGTGCGGAACTGACCGAGCCCCAAGCCGTCCAGGTTTGGTGGGAGGTAGACGCAGCTCTCCGCATCCCGGACGCCGACGTCTGGCACGAAAATCCTGCTAAAAATTACTGATTTACTGTTTGCTGCCAGGCAGTGCTCCAAAACCCTATAAACCCCAGCAGCTGGCAAGCATCGAAGGCAATCATGCGTGTGCATTGACGACAAGGCACCCGTTCAAAACTTATCGGGCTTGCGAGGTTACCCCCCAATGCCAACTTCCAACTGAGAAACCCGGTCTGCCGATGATCCGATAGATAATATACAAATAAACCTACACACATTGACATACATACTCTGTTTATAAAAGCGGGTGGGAACTCTTGTGAAGAATCTGGGAATATGGGATCGTGCCATCGGCATCACCACACCTTGTGCAGAATCCAACTTTTAGCTAGCTCCGGAAGCCGTCACAGGTTGCCGGCCCTGAAATTAAGTCGCAGCTTACAGGTGTGTGGAATTTCACTGTGCTTTATGACGGAGACTTACTGCGCTTCCTGAGCCCCCCCTGTACATTACGCATGTGCTGCCTCCTCGGGTGCCACCTAACGGCTAAAATGATGCGGGATGCCGATTGCTTCCTTTCTCATGACTCAATCAGTCCTGCTCACCGCAAGGAATCGCATGGAGAGCATCCTGAATCCCAGAAGCTCGGACTTCTCAACCCCAAAGACCTATTCAGCCAAGCTAGACGGAAGTCCTGGACCGTAAGGATGCGCACCATTCCTCCCGCCAGTCCCGCTGCGCTCGAAAGGCTGCGTAGACCTGGGAGCTTCTGAACTTCGCCGGGGGCCTCCCGCTTCAGTGCCCCCTACCCATAGGCTCCATCGCAGTCCCTTTTTGGAGCTCACATCTACAATCCTTTAAGGAGATCCCCAAAAGGAACTACTGTGGAGCCATATATGGGTAGCAGCACAATGGCACTTTTTGAGATGCTTTGAGTCCACCGAAATTCGTCGTCTCAGCGTCTGACAAGACTGGACAAATCGGATGAGCAGGTAAGACAGGACTCGACGTGGTGAACGATCCCTTGCGTTTGTTAAGTGATGCAATGCATGACACGCATTCAGTGCTCGGGGTTTACGAGCATTGAATGAGCTTTGCAAGTAATTGCCTGCAGCTGACGGCTGAGACGGACGTGAGGACTAGATCGACCCGCTGCTGAAATTGAGGAATCGAACGCTGAAAGGCTCAGTCTCAGTTTTCCGACTATATAGGCATCTCCCGACACTGATCGCTGCGCATTGTCATTGCAACGGAACTTACAGCCAAGCTCGAGCTGGGCGTACAATGAATGCTTCATGATACTGAGCTGCAATGAAGACTTAAGCAGCATGCAACCAAGGAACAAGGCGATAAAGTTTGCAGCTGGGATAGCCTAAATAGTAGGAGCCTTCTTAATAAGGACGCTAATATAAGACACCCCGCAACTTTCGGAAACTCTACACCCTTATAGAGCCCCTTAAAGGAACCCTTATAGTACCCATTATAGTAACCCTTTAAGAAGGTAGCCCCTAATTCTCGGAAACTCCCAGATAAAAACACAGACCCGAGGCTGCCACTCGACGGAAGTTGGCAACAGGCACCGAGAGCCTCAAAGCCGGGGGCGTAGGGAGCCAAACCATACGTAATATAGGGGCCTTAAAAAATCGAACAGGGATATGGGGCCCACTATAGGGGCCTTAATACTAAACTAGAATAAGTTTTTGGGGCCCGATATACTTGACATGTGATACGGAACCCCCCAAAACACTTTAGGCAATTGTTTGGGCCGCTGTGGTGTTCGTGCATGCTGCCATGCACGCACCATCAAAACGGCTGACTGTTCATTCACGGAGCATGAAACAGAGGCCGTGTCAATCGATGTCTGAGCCATGGCATTTGTGTAGCACGGGTCTCATGTTTTTGGTTTCGATTTCACTAACCGCACTTTGCGCGATGATGGACTCGCCGAAACCCGCCCCTGTGCAAAATAGCGCATGCGCAGCCTTCATGCCCGCGGTCCGTACGAAGCAGCACTGAGCATGGGAAAGAACCAGGCCCTTCGGAAACCTTCAGCAAACAGCCTTCGAAACAACAAGGAGGAGGCCATCCTGGAAATGCATCCTTGGTTGGGAGAAGCTCTCTCAAGCCGAAATAAAACCACAATCCCGAAGATGTCGACTGCAACCTTTTTGAATGTTGCACGGCGCTGTACAGATGGCATGCATGCATCGCCTTGGTGTCAATGGCTTTCTACGCCTTTCTGACTCTTCTACGCCTGCAAGTAAGCTCGTGAGACAACCAGCGGTCAAACACACCCGATTTTACACTCCCCAGGCCTAAATCCCCGAAACCATTTGACGAGACCCACTTGCCCAATCACCAGTCGAATGGGGAAGCCGCGGGCCGGCACTAGCCAACACTCACAGGGTGGGGTTCCCAACGGTTCCAGGAAAAGGAACAATCGATTATGGATTCTATGTCGGTTATATCCATTTCGAAAAGAAGTGTCCCGACCTGTCAGTAAGAGCAAACATGATTACGACCAAGTGTATGGCGATGGCTCTAAAATTTTCTTGACCATCATCACCGTCGGTAGGAACCAACAATACAATACATGAAGCTTTCGTAGCCAAAACTTTCGTAGCCAAAAGAAGCAGTACAACCTTCGTTCAGTCGCAGGCTTTGCCGCACATCCAACTACGATGCCGGTACTTGTGGTCGGGGAGCATGTTTATTACTTTGTTCCTGCACGCGCAAAGAGGTCTACACTCAGCGTCGAATGATGTTCAGTCGTGAATTTGGGCAGGGCCACATGTTGCCGCAGAGCTGGATTTGGCAGGGCTTCGCAGCGGTCATTCCCACGAAAACCAACAAGCCACAACCCCTCACTGAGGTGCGGCTTGTCATTTGGGAACCCCATGTCCGATCAAGATGCAGAGATGGTAGGGCTCCGACAACTCTCGCGAGATAGGCTGCCAAAATAGAATTACATGGCTGCGTGGTAAAGTGGAGTACTACGAGACAGAGCCTTCGACAGGTGCCCGAAAACCCCTTTGCCGAGGGATGAAGTTATCTGTGTCGCGCAAGATGCACAATGCGGCAGACATCGGCTTCCCGGTTGTAACTGGAACCCTTCGATCCTGATTCTGGTAGGAATATGTGTTATGTTTTTATGTTCGAGTCTGATTGGAAGCCCATACTCCCGTCAGCGAAAGACGGCTTGCCTGGGAATGTGTCGGGGTACCGTACATGAGTATCATCATGACTTAGCCCGTTAATTTACTTAAATCCTGAATCATCTGACAGCTTAGTGCAAACGGATCTGCTACGGATAGGAACCTTTTAGCCCGGGTATGCTCTGTCATGGCTCTCAGCATAACTATACCCAAGGAAGGTTTTCCGGTTCCCATGGCATTCCTGCCCAAGCCCGAGACCCGAAAAACTCAGAGGCCATCCTGTCTCATTCGGATTTGTAAGAGACCACTTGGGTGCTGTCACGGATGCAACACGCGACACTTCGATGTGCCTCATGCTTCGCGATCAGGAAGGCCTTTGGTCAGAAAGCTAGGGGTTGCGTTGTACATTGTTGCATTATTCTTGTGCATATTCTTGTGAAAACTGTTGTTACGAATGTTCTTAGTATTACTCTTCAGTTTCACTATTACGAGTGTTAAATTTGTTGGTATTCTTGCAGCTGTTGGTATTCGTGTTTCGACTGTCTTCGTCTTACGTTCTTGTTACTTTTCGGGGGGCCTCTCATTGGAGCCTCTGGAGTTGAGGGGCTTGAAGGGTACCGTAGTGCGCTGGATATGGTTGGATCTGGAAGTTCGGGTTCAGGCGTTGCTTGAATACACAGTGTAGCATCTGTCGAACTTCACTTCAAAGGCGTGTCACGAAGTTGTCTGCTGTACTGGCGCGGAGGAAAGCGGGCGGTGGCTGGCTGGTCCGAGCATACAGAGCAAGGTTTCGGCGCTCACACTCGGACAATCCAGGCGAGGCATATATGGTTCGGAGTCTGCCAAAGTGAAACGTGCTAATGGGATAGGTTTAGGTTTTAGAAGCTCAGCCTGGCACAGAAAGGCCATGTCTATCAGGCGCTGTTTTGCGGTAGTTGCACATCATAAACGATGCTGCAACAGCTCGTCATCGCCGTTACTTCAACAGGCGGGCAAGCTCCGTGTGGTCTTAAGAGCTGCAGCCCGCACCCCCTACAGGGGGCAATCGGCGCGCATTGGCATCATTGTGTAAGCTGTTACTGTAATTGCTTGAGTCCCGTTTATTCGTGTCAGCGCCAGCCTCGACCAGCAGACAGTAAATCTCCACGTGCCCGTGAGCGGCTGCAAGAAGGAGGGCAGACTCACCATATCGATCGCACACGTCGCTGTCAGCACCAGCATCCAGCACAAGACGGACTATCTCAATATGGCCGTGAGAAGCTGCGCATACGAGGGCTTCACCACACACGGCACCAGCATCAACCAGCAATTTGACAATCTCAATGTCTCCTGCGGAGGCTGCAGGTACGGGACTCAAAGCACACTTGCCATCTAGATCGCACACGTCCGTGTCAGCGCCAGCATCCAGAAGAAGATGGGCCATCTTGATGTGGTCGTTACACAGAGCGTGCACGAGGGCAGACTTGCCGTCTAGATCGCGCACGTCCTTGTCAGCACCAGCATCCAGCAGAAGACGCGCAACGTCAATATGACCACCCGCGGCTGCGTACATGAGAGCTGTCTTGCCAGCCTGCATGTCCTGCAAGTCCTTGTCAGCGCCAGCGTCCACCAGCAAGCGGGTGATCTCAGTGTGCCCGTTGACGGCTGCAAGAAAAAGGGCAGACTTGCTATCGCGCCCACACACGTCCCTGTCAGCACCAGCATCCAGCAGAAGACGGGCTATGTCAATGTGACCGGCAGAGGCTGCATACATGAGAGCTGTCTTGCCAGCCTGCATGTCCTGCAAGTCCTTGTCAGCGCCAGCGTCCACCAGCAAACAAGTGATTTCAGTGCGCCCGTTGACGGCTGCAAGAAGAAGGGCAGACGTGCTATCGCGACCACACACGTCCCTGTCAGCACCAGCATCCAGCAGAAGACGGGCTATGTCAATGTGACCGGCGGAGGCTGCATACATGAGAGCTGTCTTGCCAGCCTGCATGTCCTGCAAGTCCTTGTCAGCGCCAGCGTCCACCAGCAAACAAGTGATTTCAGTGCGCCCGTTGACGGCTGCAAGAAGAAGGGCAGACGTGCTATCGCGACCACACACGTCCCTGTCAGCACCAGCATCCAGCAGAAGACGGGCTATGTCAATGTGACCGGCGGAGGCTGCATACATGAGAGCTGTCTTGCCAGCCTGCATGTCCTGCAGGTCCTTGTCAGCGCCAGCGTCCACCAGGAGACGGGTGATCTCAGTGTGCCCGTTCATGGCTGCAAGAAGAAGGGCAGACTTGCTATCGCGACCACACACGTCCCTGTCAGCACCAGCATCCAGCAGAAGACGGGCTATGTCAATGTGACCGGCGGAGGCTGCATACATGAGAGCTGTCTTGCCAGCCTGCATGTCCTGCAAGTCCTTGTCAGCGCCAGCGTCCACCAGCAAGCGGGTGATCTCAGTGTGCCCGTTGACGGCTGCAAGAAGAAGGGCAGACTTACCATCTCGATCGCAGGCGGCCCTGTCAGCAGCAGCACCCAGCAGAAGACGAGCAACGTCAATATGACCACCCGCGGCTGCATACATGAGAGCTGTCTTGCCAGCCTGCATGTCCTGCAGGTCCTTGTCAGCGCCAGCGTCCACCAGCAGACGGGTAACTTCAGTGTGCCCGTTAACTGCTGCAAGAAGGAGCGCAGACTTACCAAAACCGTCGCGCACGTCCTTGTCAGCACCAGCGTCCAGCAGAAGACGGGCTATGTCAATGTGACCGGCGGAGGCTGCATACATGAGAGCTGTCTTGCCAGCCTGCATGTCCTGCAGGTCCTTGTCGGCACCAGTGTTCACCAGCAGACGGGTGATCTCAGTGTGCCCCTTAAGGGTTGCAAGGAGGAGCGCAGACTTACCAAAACCATCGCATCCGTCCTTGTCAGCTCCAGCATCCACTAGCAGACGGGTGATCTCAGCGTGCCCGTTCATGGCTGCAAGAAGAAGGGCAGACTTACCATCTCGATCGCACACGGCCCCGTCAGCAGCAGCACCCAGCAGATGACGGGCAATGTCAACGTGACCAGCGGAGGCTGCGTACATGAGAGCTGTCTTGCCAGCCTGCAAGTCTTTCAAGTTCTTGGCAGCTCCAGCATCCACTAGCAGACGGGTGATCTCAGTGTTTCCGTTAATGGTTGCAAGGAGGAGCGCAGACTTACCAAAACCATCGCGCACGTCCTTGTCAGCGCCTGCATCCAGCAGAAGTCTGGCAACCTCAGTGTGACCACCGGAGGCAGCATGCAGCAGAGCTGTCCAGCGATTTCCATCGCGAGAGTCGTTGTCTGCCCCAGCGTCTACCAGCAAACGGGCAACGTCAGTGTGGCCCTTCATTGCTGCAACTATGAGAGCTTTACTGTAGTAGTCCTTGTCACTGCACACTTGAAGCACACGTTGTGCTGCTTCAACACAGCCGTTCC